TTAATTGAAACGTCTGAGCGGCACACGGCTTGCAGGCGTGGCAAGAAGGCAGCAGGTGAAAGTGTTCATTCACTCAAAAGAAAAACGATGCCAAATAAAGGCCGATGAACAGCAGCAGCGCATATAGGATATACAGTTCCATTTTGAGGCCAGACATGGACTGCAGCCGGTCGAGCGTTCGCTGCGCCGCCTTCAATTTGGTGCAGTGCTCGTAGAGTATCAGCGTGTGCCGTATTATCGTGTGCTCCACCCATTGCAAGTGCTCCAGCTGTTTATAGAACTCGCCGAAACTGGACGTGAGCATCTGCTCATAAATCTGCGCCAGCACTCTGCTCGGTATATAAGTGTCCATGCTGGTAATTACACTGGCGTCCAATTCGGGCAGCTGCAGCTCATCGATTAGCGCTTCGCAGGCGATCAACGTGTCCATTTTTCGCATGCCCTGCAAACGTTTCAGCAGCTGGCGCAAGGACTGCTCCTGCCCGGGCGGCAGGGTGCCGCTCGAGCTGTTCAGCGAGTCCAGGGCTGGGCCATAGCTGCCGCGACAAATGGATGTGACGATGCCGTTGGCCACTCTGCGCTGCAGTGGTGTTAGTGTGTGTAAAAAGGACATAGCCTGCAAAGGCTTAGCCGTGCTCAATAAAAATATACAGTCTAAAACAGTCTAAAAATATATTAGTCTTGTAGATTCTCTCTTATCATGTGCTTAGCTCGTGGGGCGTGTAGGGTGAATTGTGGAGTGAGTGTGTTTGTTGTTTTTGTTTGTTTACATATTTTTAGAAATTTTGTTGTTTTTTTTTTGGTTTATTTTTATGTTTGAGTTGTAAAACTTTGTTTGCCAGTGTCATTTTTCAATATAAGCTCAGCTCAGCAGGGCGCTCTGTTAAGCTGCTGTTAAGCTTCCTCTCTATTCATTCATTCGATTACGCGCTCTGCTAAGCTGCTGTTAAGCTCTGCTCTCTCTTCATTAATTTGTTAAGCTTTTCTCTCTCCCTTTATTAATTCGATTGCGCTCTCTGCTAAGCTGCTGTTAAGCTTTCCTCTCTCTTCATTCATTCGAATGCATTCTCTGCTAAGCTGCTGTTAAGCTCTCCTCTCTCTTTATGCCAAAGCCCTTAATTGAGCATTTTAGTTCTCCATTTTGTTAGTATTTACCTTTCCTTTTTTCATATACCCTAATTTGTTAAAGTTGAAAACGTGCCTTAAAGTTGACGTTGCATACCGCTTGATGATGACAGGCGCGACTGCCTTCGCACACGGCTTGAGGCCCATAAATCGAGCCACATATGGGCGACATTACAAGTGGCTGCCGTCTGTGCGCTCAATTCAAATGGAAATCAAAGTGGGCGTTCATGAGTTAAACACTCCAGTACAGTCACAGCTACAGCTACAGTGGCAGCTCCTATGCAGGTCCTGCCAGGAAGTTGGAATGTGACAAAGTCGCTGGCAATGCGCGCACTTGTGGTTTACGACCTGGGCTTCAGCTCTTTTTGCTACTCTTGCCGAGCTCAAGTGTGGCCAGAGGGTGCGGCTGGGCTATAAAATGGCGTAGCGTTTCCGCTCTCGACTGCCACATTGCTCAAAAATTTATTATTCTCATCTAGATGAGTTCATTATTTTGCAGCATGTTGCATGCGGAATGTAAAGTGTAGCAAGTTGAATGTCGAATGCGAAAACAATTTAATTTTATTGTTTTGCACATAAATTTTTCGGTTTGCCATACGCCAGAATTATGCATTGTTTTTCATTGGAATGGCAAAAGGAAACAACTAGAAACAAATGCTTTCTTCGGCACGCATACCATTAAATACCCTTTTATATAGATAGAAAAAATACCCACTTCAAGCGTTTAAACAGAGCGACAAGAAAAATATAACTGTATTCCAATTGCGTACTTAAAGTAAAAATATATACATATACATATATACATATGCATTTTAATAATATATAAAGGAGCACGCTTACCTACTTTAGAAAAGCTCTCTCTCTCTCGCTCTCTCTGCACATGGAATACGTTTAATTGCCGCCAATTTATCTTCAGTGCAAAAGCTCTGCATCAAAAATTACGCAACGCACATTCTACCGATGGTTAAATATTGCAAGCCAGCTGATGAAAGGTGAATATCACTATTAAAAACTATTAAAACACACACTCTGCACATATTAAACGCATTTCACACAACATAATTATTGCAAATGGTTTTTAAAAACTATTTTTCACACACGCACAACAGAAACAACCGATCAAAGGGAGGAACGCGCACTAACTAAATGTTCTCATTAAGGAAGCGCCTACGCTAAGCCGGCAACGGCATATGCACTAATACAAGCACAGCCAAGAGCATAAATTTCACAGAACTCGCTCGCGCTCTCAGCTGAACCAATGTAACGGGATCATAAGTGTCGCGGCCAATGGTGGACATTGCACGACTTCTCCCCAGTGAGTGAGCTATAAGTAACTACTTAAATATGCAATGACTTCTCCCGGTCATAACATGCACAGTGCTCAGCAACTTGAGCATATAACGGAATCAAAAGCATGAGAGCAAATAATGTGTGCAGAATGGCCGAAAAAGTCATCTCCCACGCTCAACCATCTATGTTCGCTCTTCAGATAAATGCGCTCTCTGCCAGTGCCATGATCCGTGCATACGCTTCTGCTATGCGTTACAAATTTCATATCAAAATTATGATAGCCGCTAGCAGGGTATTAAAAAAGGAAACCCCTATGAAATCTGAGACACTCGCACATATGTGCATGTGTCTGTGTGTGTGTGGGTGGGGGGCGGGCATAAAAAGTTGCCTGCTTCGCTGCTGGCCATATAATTGAGTCACGTTTGGCCAGGGCTTAGATGCGCCTGTGTAAGATATTCAGATTTATGCCGCGATGTCGATGCGAATTGGAAAAATATATATGTATTACATACACATGTATATAAACAAATTGCTGTACTGTGATTTATGTGAGCGATATTCCTGATTGCATATTAGTAAAGTCGGGGGTTGGGTTTTTTTTTATTTTTTCGGCCACATTTTTGAGCTGAAATTAAATACAGAATGTTTTTAAGTTAAAGCATAGAAAACGTATCTACAGAAAATCTGAATTATTATTAAAATTATATCAATTAAACTGTTAATTGTATTTGGACTCAGATTCGAACCAGCAACTTCTCTTTTATATAAATATTTTGAAAAATATGTAATTAGTTTTAGTAAAGATATTAAAATTATGCAAAATTAAATAGCACAAATATTTTCTGAAATTCCTATTTGAACCCAGGGATAAGCACACACACACACACACACACACACACACCGAAGCGCATATCACAGCAGCCGTTAAGACCACAAATAAACGTATTTTGTACGTTTTTATTAAAGTAATATGCCAAACGCTATGCTCTCATTTTGGCTACGTGTTTATAATGCCAATAACCCGGCAAACTGCAGACCCAGCCCGACCCAATCCAGCCGGGGGCATCGTCAATAAACAGAAACTAATACATGCCAGGACTGCAGCAGGAATCAAAAGGCGTGCTGGCATCCGCGGCCAGGTTCAATGTACGTTGACAACGAAAATTTAATTTATCTGTATCAGTTCCACTTGCCCCGGCTGACGACTGGAGCTGAATGCCAGTTGACAGAAGGCACAGGAGCTGCTGCCGGCACAGCTGGCGGAACACATGTTTCAACAAATTCATCTGCCATGTCACAATGCGCAACGGTATGCAGAATTTTTGCCACCCCATTCCAACCCGCCCTGTTATTGACATGGATATGGATATGGCTATGAGGGAGACATGCTAGTTTCGGCCAGGCTGCACACAAACGCTGCACGTGACAGGACTCAACGAAAAGTGAAACTTTCTGTGCAAATATTTTGCAGGCAAACAGCTCGCACTTAAAGCGAACTCCCAACTGGAATCTTCCGGTCTCTGTCCCTTTAAGCTGTTAGTGTCATTAATCAAATGGCGCCCAATAACTTTGCCGGAGCGCGTCAGCGGTTGCCAACCCTTTCAGTCGGCTGCCCCGCCTGCCGCAGCAGTCCTTTTTCGATACCCTGTATTAAGCTTTAGAGAGTGTAGGGGGGTCCTATGAGGTTCAAACGGACAGCAGTAGGTGAAATCGGGCCCATTTAATATATATATATATATTCCTGATCAGCAAAAAACACTTGCAGCATTCATGCCGTGAAGTCCGTCTGCCTGTCCGCCTGTCTATCTTAGATCATCCTTTCGTCCTTTCGTCCTTCAACGAGAACTTCTTGAGACTTTCGAAATCCGAGACACACCACATTTAATACGAAAAAGGAATCTTTTAATAATTCGATATGGATTTTTGTTTAATCGAAATCGATAAGTATAGATTGTCATCATAAATATCTATCTTACCTCAAATGAGGCACGCAGGCTTTCGTTTAGTAAACATAGATCCTGTGTATTTTACTTAAAAGACAATCCTCAGAAATGCATCCAAAATGGTTGAAATAAATAGAGCTAGAGCTAAGATTTTTGGTATAAGTAGATACTAAAATGCTTTATTGAAGTCTTCAAAATAGCAAAGCGATCGCAGTATAAACACCCGAGTTATTGACGAATAACTTTACCGCAAGCTAGGCCTGTGTTAGCTGAGTACAGGGTATCTGGTCGTGGCGCACGCCCGACTAAAGCAGCCGCACTTGTTAGCTGTTGGCGCAGTTTCAGCTTGTTAGAAACCATTTTTGAAATATGAACTTTTTGAGCTGTTGTTGTTGTTGTTGTTGTTGTTGTTGTTGTTGTTGCTGACGAATGCCGGCAGTCATTAATAAATTAGGGGTTAAAATGCCAGGCGAGGAGGGGATGGGCGGGAGACGAGTCGGTGCCCAAAAAGTTGTTTATTTAATTGAAAGTGAAACGAGCGACAACTGATTTGCTTAACTCAATTAAACAAGGCGCCGCAGTGGGTCGAAGGGGGCTGTGCATTGATTTTACGTTCCAGCCAGTTGCTGTCAAATAGTTTTAGTTTGATTTAAGCACAATCTTTAGTTGGAACCCCAAGAGATGAATAAAATTTTAGGCAACTGGTACGTGGCCGGCGAGTGCCGTGCTCCGGGCCTGCTCAGCCCGGTGGAGAGCGAAATTCTGAGCGCCAGCGACAACGTTGACTTTGGCGAGGTGGAGGAGCCCGATCTGGATCTGGCCTACGATCAACTGGAGGCCATCAAGCGGCGTCTTAAGCAGCTGCAAGCCCACTTGATCTACCCGCCCGCCGATCCCTGCGAGCTGACGGGCACCAGCCGCACCGCGTCCGAGGACCACGGCTGTCTCACAGACAAACAGTTGATGCTCCAGCAGCTGCGACGCAGCAACTCTAAGCTGCGCTGCCAGCTGCGACTTCAGGCGCAGCATCTGCAGAGCTCCCGCAAACATCTGCGGCTGCTGGAGGACATGCGCTGCCAGCTGGGCAACAGGCTGCGCCAGATGAGCGCCCAGCTCGACGAGTTAGAGCAGTTCAAGCAATCCATCCAGCACCAGGCTGGCCTCTGTATCGAGCGCAACGAGCAGATCAAGGCGACCAAAATCGATAAGCAGAATTTCCAGACGGAGCTAAGCAAGCTCAGCATCCATTCCAGAAATCACATGCGCCTCATGGCGCCCCTGCGCTGCCACAATCAGCTCCGATACGATCTTAGCCTCGACTTGATACTCACGCGCATCTTCCTGCATGCGCTCTTCGGCAACATGGTCGAGGACTGGAAGTTCTGCATTCGCCGTCTCAAGTGAGTACTGTAATTTACTACTATCTACTACTATCTACTACTATATATTACTATCTACTACTATCTACTACTAATATCTATTAATATCTACTTGTATCTACTACTATCTACTAGTACTACTATCTACTACAATTTACTACTGCATACTACTATCTACTACTATATATTACTATCTACTACTATCTACTACTATCTACTACTAGCTACTACTATCTACTACTATATATTACTATCTACTACTAATATCTATTAATATCTACTTGTATCTACTAATATCTACTATTACTACTATCTACTACAATTTACCACTGTATACTACCATCTACTACTAGTTACTACTATCTACTACTGTCTACTACTATCTACTACTATATATTACTATCTACTACTGTATACTACTATCTACTATTTATATCTACTTCTATCTACTACTATCTTTTACTATCTACCATTTTACCACTATCTACTACTATATACTACTATCTACTACTAGCTACTACTATCTACTACTATATATTACTATCTACACTATCTACTACTAATATCTATTAATATCTACTTGTATCTACTAATATCTACTATTACTACTATCTACTACAATTTACTACTGTATACTACTATCTACTACTATATATTACTATCTATTACTATCTACTATTTATATCTATTAATATCTACTTCTATCTACTACTATCTTTTACTATCTACCATTATCTACTACTATCTACTACTATCTACTACTAGCTACTACTAGCTACTACTATCTACTATCCACTACTATCTACTACTATCTACTACTTTCTACTACTTTTATCTACTACTTTTATATTCTACTATCTACTACTACAATCTACTACTATTTACGTCTATATACTTCTATCTACTAATATTTGCTTCTATCTACTACTATCTACTACTTCTACCCTACTCCACTTTCTAGTAATACTATATAATACTATATAATACCACATATTTTGTACTTCTGCTACTATTTACTACTCTATTATATACTACTATCTACTACATAAAATACTACTATATGTTACCATTTTCTATTTATTTACAGAAAGAATTGCCGCGGCGTTAAGCTTCGCATGCTGCCGCCCACGGACTTCCCCCCGATCTGGCCCTGGCGTGATTAAAATGTTGACCCAAGTTTCGGTCATTAATTGTTTCAAAAATGTGTTGTGTTTTTCATTCGGCGTTTTATTGGCTGCGTTTTTTGGCTCCAAAGTTTTTGGTCTCGTTCTAATTGCTTTTGAAATGTCGCTCAATTAAGATTATTGGCGCTTGGCGGCTTTTATGGCACTCTTGTGGATGGGCCCGCTCGGTCCTGCGGCGCACTCGTAATAATTATAAAATTTCAGCTTGGCGCATCTGAAATTGCCTCAGATTAATGGCGTGCGCTTTTATTTGAAGGCGTTAAAGTTAAAGTAACAATATCATAGCAGGAAGCCACCCTACCATCCCGTTACCGTCCCCTGTCACCACATTCTAATCCGGCTTGAAACGCCACACAAATGTACGCATTCCCACCAGGATAAGAAGCTGCAGCTAAATACGAAATGGCATCAGATAAAAACAAAGCAGATTTGTCTCTCACACACAGAAAAATACCCTGAAAAACCCTCAAAAAAAACCTGAAAAACCGAGCCCCTGACAGCCCGCAGCTAAGCCGAAAGGCAGCCCAACACATTGGCATTGACACTGGGCTCCACATCCTTGTGGAGCCTTGTCAAACTGCGTAAAAACTCAATTGCTGCGCATTGGCAGACAAGGAGCACGCGGACACAAACTATGCATCCAGATCGGGTCCCGTTTCGTGTTCCCTTGCTGACAGTGCCCGGGGCCAAGGCTACATTGGGTTAAATACGCCTCAGTCCTTCGCCTGCTGCTGCTGTGCTGAGTGAGAGATAGCGCCAAACGGCAAAAGCGAATTTATTGGAGTCATGTCCTGATAAGCGTTCGCTTCAATTCCATGCCAAATTACAATGTTACATGGGCGAAAAAGCGATTAACCGCAGCTAAACGAAGGGCGAATGCCCTATAATAAGGCTGGGCGTGATTCATAAACTATATCAGAATATCTTGACTTTATATGGAGCTTACCCTCTTTGACTATTGCCTTTAGAATATCTAGACTTAACATGTAGCCTACTTGTTCTCCGCTGACTTTATCACTCAGAGTTGCATTGGGAATATCTGGACTTAATATGAAGTCTACACTTATCCTCACTGACTATATCACCAAAGTTTTTCCGCTTTTATAAGGGTATACTATTATTTCTCACACAGCCTTGTCGACCTTCATATAAACATTTATTGTTTCTTTATTGATCGATTCTACAAGTACATTTCATACTTATATGGAGGTTGAACCAGAATACTTGTTCAAATTTTCAAATATTTGCTTCTTGATTTGAACCAGAATCCTTTTTCAAATTTTCAATTCATTTGTTTCTTGTTCCAATTATAAATTTTTATTTTATTTGAAATCAATTCCATATGCTCACCTAATATGAGTGCCAAGCCCAATCAGAAAATCACCTTAATCTCCTTCGTCGTAATGTAGGGTATACAAACATAGATAGACACATCGAGATACAGGCAACATAACACATCAGACTACATGGCTGATACACAGGAAACGCATTAGATACTTTTTGGTACATACTCCTGGCTAACTGGGCAGGCTGTGTGCCGACTGGGCCGAGTTTGGACGGTTCTGGCCATTGCGGCGGCTGCTGTTGGCTGTTGCGATAAAAATCTGCGTAAAATGATGCGGCAATTTGATGAGCAACTAACTTCGAGCAATTAGTTTGGTCGATTCGTAGTCGGAGGCTGGAATTGGAGTTGTCGTTCATGTTTTCCGGCTGCTAAACTGTTGCTCCAGTCAATGAATGGCAACTGTTATGGCAGCTGACATTGGTAGAGGCAACGCATTTAGTGTTAATGTGTTTGGCAACTGTTTCAAGTTTTGGTGATTTATGTGCCAAGTAAAACTAGAAGCTTTAAAGGTATCTTTGGCAGTAGATACTTATATGGCTCAGGCGGACGAGCAAGTCGAGGCAATGCCCATTTGGTAAAAATTGGAAAGCCTCTAGCCAAACGCTCTGTGTCAGTGGAAACGGTGGCAGCGAGTGGGAGTTGAAACTCTGCACATTTGCCTTTGGGCTGTTTTTCAGCTGTTTAGCAGCAATCTCAAAGATACATTTCAAGTGCTTAAGTTGCTGCCCGGCCGCAAGAGTACAAATAATTTCCATTTGGCCAAAGGCAGCGCCAACATTTGCATTTATCTTCAGCTCTGCTCAGCAGCAACAAATAGACAAACATGCCTACTGCCAGCTGTAACTCTCCGAGTATTTGTATAGCGTGTGAGAAGGAGAGGGCGAGTGGAAGAGAGAGCGAGAGATATGTCTACTTATAAATACTTTGTGGACTGGCACACAAGTTGTAGATAAATATGGCATAGATTACATAACTAGTTCTTGCCGCCGAACAATAAAAAGTTTTCCTTCTCCCCCTCTCTCCTCATCAACTCACACACACTCTCTCTCTCCCTCTATTTAAGCGTTTCTCTATTTTCCTAGATGCTTTTCCTGTGCACAGTTATTTATGATTTTTCTCGTACTCCACACGGCGTCTGCGGCATTCGTGTAGCACATTTGTCCGACTCGGTTGTCAGGGCGCCGTGGCTTAGTTGGTTAAAGCGCCTGTCTAGTAAACAGGAGATCGTGAGTTCGAATCTCGCCGGGGCCTTTGCACTATGCCAACAAGTTGGTTGACTTTTTTTTAAATTTATTTTTCGTTTCATATTTTTCAATTGGAAATTAGCAAATACTGAGTCAGCCATTTGCCACTTATTGTTGTTTCCTTTTCCGCCCCATGTTGCCTTTACTGTTATTATTTTCTTTTCTATTGTTGTTGTTGCTTGTTGCACGCCAACTGACGCACTCGCCCATTAACATGACTTCAATTGCCGCAATAATTGTTTCCATTATCGTTAAAATCGCTGAAAATTGCGCCCTGCCATGAACTCTGTACAAATTTTCAGTGCCAGAAATAAAGCTTCAGCAGAAAAAAAGCTTTGCCTATTTTAGCTTTTTTCAGACAGGTACTTTGCCTATCAGAGCGACAGCTGATAAGCCCAACTATATTTAAAGCAAATTCTATTTATTAATGCATAAAAAAGGCAAAAGATAATGTAGACAGGTGTGCTTGTTGCAAACATACCCTGCAAAAAGCAGGGTATTTATATTTATTAGTATTTATAAATATATTTATTTGTTAATTTGTTGTGGGATAATAATTGTTGAATATATAAAAAAAATAAATTATAATATTTTCTTGGAGAAAAATCTTTTTACTGCACATTTTAAGTATCTATAGACTTGCCTGTAGGTCTAATTTCTAAATGATGTGTCGGATAATAAGCCATTTTTATAGGGTATGAGAACTTTAACCAAGTTTTAAACATATGTTTAAAAAAATTATATATTTGCTTATCTACTTGTAAACAAACTTTTTGCCATGTTGTACCCTATAAATGCCTGCCATTATTTATACTATTTCTCTATATATTTCTCAGATACTAGCAACAAAGCAACCCACAGTCACATCAATATTATTTTCTGCATTGTTTTCCATATCTGTACCAAAAACATTTGAACAAATATTAATTCAAACAATGAACCGCTGAAGTACCCAGCTGTCAGAAAACAAGAGAACTTCACAAAAAAGTTCTCTCAAGTTGACTATTTTTACAGATGAAATCACGAGGGCGCCGTGGCTTAGTTGGTTAAAGCGCCTGTCTAGTAAACAGGAGATCGTGAGTTCGAATCTCGCCGGGGCCTGCAATTGAAGAGTACGGTTCTCTTCAATTATATATTCTTTTTATTTGGCTACAATTTTAACTACTTTCTAAGCGCTAATACTCTGAAACAGTCCTTAGCCTATTATAATTTCCAACTGGTTTGTGCAGTGGCTGCCCAGCTTTTGACGAGCTTTATCGAAAGCTTTCACAACTTTCACTCGCAGCTAGTCCTGATAGACCAAATACAAGACAACAATCATGAAGTACGTGGGACGCTCAAAAACCAGTTGAGTAAAGTTATCTCGCTTCTCGTCCATCAGATGGCACATCCGCTGATAAATGCCCTGGTTCTGCTTCTCGGCAATCGACAGCAGACAGACAATGCGATGCCTGTGAAAGATGTATATATGTATATATATATTGATAATGGGGTCATTTGGTTGGCTTTGTGGCTGGCAACGCATTGGATTATGATTTGCAACACTCACCGCCTGTGGTTTAGCTTCTTGACCCGGTCTCGTATCTCCGCGGCCAGACTCTCGGCCAGCTGCAGCGCGCGCCAAGAGTCATAATTGCGGCTGAAACGATCCCACAGCAGACGCTCCTCAATGCAATCTTCGATGATTTTATGGGCACGTTCCATATTGAAATTGGTGTGAAAGAATTTCCAATCATTTTTCGGCTTCTCCTTACGCTCGCCGCCCAACTCGCCGCCCACGCCGCCAGCCTCACCCTCGCCCGCAGCACTCTGGAGCGCGCGCCGCCGGCTCAGCATGGACTCCGACAGCAGCGCATTCATGCGATTGGTTGTTCGCACCGAGGCGGTGATGCTGCAGATGATATAGAAATCGGAACAGGTTAATTAAGATCTCAGCCATGACCGGGGCGCACATACCGCGTCTTCATTGTGCTCCAGCTGGACGCGGCCGTAGCGCCCGACATGGTATATACTTAGTATAGTCGGGATTTGATATATTCAACAAGGAAAACAAATTCCATGCGCTGCTATCTGCACACTGACAGCGCAGCGACGTCAACAACAATGACGATGTCGGCACTCTGACATGCTGACACGACGAGCAGGTCTATCAACCTGCCAGACCCCCCCCCCCCCCCCCCTGGGATCGGAACTTTGTTGGTTTTTGCCAAACTCTTCCGGCTCGCGTGCCGCTTATCATAAGCCCAAAGGCAGGCGCTCCAATTGCAGCAAACGACGACGTGGGTGTCATCGGCAAACGGAGCACAATCAAAAGTGTTGCCATATGGACGCCTCACAACCCCTTTCACTCTCTCCCTCTCTCTCTCTCCCTCTCTCACTCCCACTCTATTGAACCCTGCATGCACGGCACGCGAAGACTTTCGAGCCTTGATGAGTTTTGATCGGTTTGTTTGGGACACCTTTTCCGGCGGCACCAAATCGCGGCCATTGTGCGGTTTACGGCCATAGTTCAAGTACTTTGATTGCATTTACGACACTTGGAACTTTCATCTATTCCTTATTCAAAGTTCGTGCCATCGCTAACTGATAGTTATTCCGGCAAAATTTATGAAGTTATTAAATTAGATATTGCCGCAGAGTCACGTGCGTCGTAACAATTTTCTTCGGGCTCTAATTGTGTGTTGGGGTAGTCCATGGAATGCATTTGTAGGGCATTTCTTATGCCGAACAGCGCCGGGCAGCCGAATAGAACAGGTGAAAATTGCATGATTTTGATAAGTTTGTCTAGTCTGCCTGATTATCCATCTCTTTTTGCTTTGTGTCTTCTCTCTTTCTATCATCAAATACTCTTTCTTTTCCCTCTCGCTCTCTCGTTTGCTATGTCAGTGTCTTTTCCGTCTCTTTCTGCCTCTCACTTTTTTGCCTTGTCAATGTCATTCAAAATCCCATCCTGAATCTCTCGTTCTCTCTCTTTCTCTCTCGCTGTCTCTCTCTCTCTCCCTCTCTATCTTTACCAATCTCTTTCCCTATTGCTATCGTCTCTATTTCTCTCTTTCCCTGTCTCTCGCTCTCTTTTTCTCTCTCCCTCTCTCCCTCCCTCTCTCCCTTTCTCCTTCTCCATCTCTAAGAATCTCTCATTATCGCTTCTTATCTACATATAGATAGATTCCTCGCCGTTCTTTCTCATCAGTTCTCCTTCTCTCTCCCTCTCTCTCTCCCTCTCTCTCTCTCTCTCTCTCTCTCTCTCTCTCTCTCTCTCTCTCTCTCTCTCTCTCTCTCTTTCTCTCTCTCTTAATTCTGCATTTCTTCTCAATGCTTTAAATGTTATATTATAATATTTCGACTCAAATTTTAAATCTTCTTTTGACCTGTGCATAAAGATTTAAGAGCAGATACGATAATTGGATGCACAGGATCGAGTATTTGCCGGGACGGCTATAAATCTTTTATTACTCAAGTAATAAAGATGTGGGACAATTATAGCCGAGCAGTTCCATAAACCAAATACGACGCGAACCCAGCAATAAGCAGTCAGAAGTTTAACTGTAATTTCTGTTACCTCTGAGGGGGTGGAGGGTGGGGGGGCGTGGCGTACGAACTACCTGGGGCTTACTAATTGCCGTAGCACAAAACTTTACGACACGTGAATATGTGCCAAAATTAAGCAGCGACGCCGCCGCCGGCAACAAATTAACCAATTTTGTTGCAGGGGCGTGTGGGCGTGTGGGCGTGCCCACAATGCCAACACTTTAGCTGTGATGGGGCACACACACGGCTTTTATATACGGTATTTGCATAAACTTACGCTTGCATGCGACTCATGAGGCGCCTCGAATTATGCTACGAACTAAGACGAGTTGACTGCCGACTTCTCACTGCTTACTGCAGACTGTTTACTGCGATTTGGTTAAACGGGCAAAACTGCACGTGAGCTCGTCTCGAATGTGACTGGCATTTGGCTTCCAAAAACATAAAAGCGCACATGGCCACAAAAGGTAAGGCATACAGCTCTAACGGCACGACCAGAAGGGTTAGCAGTGGGAGTGGCAGCAACAGAAGGGGCAGGTGCAGGGGCAGGTGCAGGGGCAGGGGCAGGGGCAGGTGCAGAGCTTTGCCCCAGTCCTGGTTGGTATCTTCATGGCGTCTCGCATTGGTTTCAGTGGCATGTCTAAGGACAACTCTGACTTTTTGGTAGCAGCAGCGGCTCATGTCTGTCTCTCTCTCTCTCTCTCTGTGTGTGGGTGTGTGTGTGAGTTGTCTAAATTCTATTTATTTTGAGTAATTTAGTTTCTATTTGATGCATGCCACACCCACACACACACACACACACACACGCAGCTGGCCGGGAGGCAATTAAAAACTTGGGTTACAAACTGTCGACAGGGCTGCATGCAAAACCGTTTACTCCGACTGCCAGTACAGGTGTGTACTGTGTGTGTGTGTGTGTGTGTGTGTGTGTGTGTGTGTGAGCTCGCGTGCCACATTCACGTTGAAACATGTCCACTTAAGAATTGCATTTAAAAATCCACAAAAATCGGAACTATATATGCATGCGCGCACCGTTTAGCTTTGTTGGCCAAAAATTGTTATGGGTCCAAAGTTTGCATTTGACATGTATTTATAAAAAAATATGTTATTTGAGCACAGGTGAGAGAATATGAAAGGAGCTCAATTTGGCGCCTTTCCAACTATGAGAAGGGATATTTTGGAAAATTTTAAAAAAGAAAACCAAACTCTGGAAAGTTTTTTATATTAAAATTCAAATAAATTAACGCTAAAGCCTCCAAACGTAGGCAAAAGTAAAAGTATTTTAGAATCAAATTTGTAGATATTGCAGATCTTAGTATTTCATTCTACAGAGCAGCTATTGCATAAACATTTTCCCAAACCAAAAACTCTCAAAACTAAAATGATATCTATAAGTTGATATATTCAAAAATATATTTCAATACTCTTATTCTTCTAGAGGTAAAGTTCAAGTCAAAATTTCCTAGCTAAATCGATTCCCATTGCTTTCCACAACATAGATTTGATAACTAAAACTTGCAGAATCTACTTCCAACTTAACATGGCCTAAATTTTCTCAAAACTTGTTAGACTAATTCGAAAATTAGTTCCCTTTGGTAATATTCTAGTCAACATTTGCTGGCTAAATCAGTTCCCATTGTTTTCTATAACCCAGATTAGATTATCAGACGTAATGGAGATTACTGAAGCTTTCAGAATTTCGTCTCAACTGGAGTTTTGATTGAACAATAAAATTCTAAGTGACGTGAGGATCATTCCGTTTTTCAAAGCGAAAAATACCAATAAATAAATAGTTAACTTAAATAATATTTTATTTTGTATCTACTCAAGCATCGTTAACATTTCGGAGTATGTCATATAGTAGTAGTACATGTTGATTGTATTTGGTATATATCCTAATATCTGGAACGACGTTGCTCGTTGTTAAAGTTGATGCCCAAAATGGTGGCACACACAAAGGCGGCGGCCTAAATAAAATAATAAATTAATGAGTCAGTTTGGCTAGTTTTGCTTTTTTTAGTTGCCGAGTGCGCAAATAGAGTAGATAAGTGTACTTACCTCAACGGCTATCAAAATCCAGCCAAATACCCTAACGAACTTAAAGGCGTGCTCGTAGAAATCGATCAATTTGTTTAAGCAGCCGTCGGGGTAAACCGTGTGCGTCGATGTGGTCGAGGTGCTATTGGTGACATAACAGCTCTGCGGGATTGTGATATTGGCCTTGGTATAATCGATGGGGCCATTGATGCCGCAGCACTTCAGCTGCAAAGGAAATGAGTGCGTATATATAGAAGAAGTCTCTTCGGAAATCGTCAAGAGCTTACGTTCGTCTGATAGATGGACATGGCATCGGTGCCATTCTTTTGCTTGTCCCAGGCCTGGTTCAGTTGCTCCCGCGACAACGTCTGCTCATCGATGCGCTTCAGATAGACAAAGCACAGCACGCTGCTCAGGATCAAGATGATCAGCAGCACGATGGCATACTGTGGGCATGATATATAAATTGATAGAAGTTATGTAAATATTATAGATGGATATAAATTTACTCACCGTCCAGGTGAGGCATAGGTTTTCCTTGATGGCGCCACAGCAGCCAAAGAATGAGATCAGAAACACAATCGAGCCGGTCACAATAAACAATATAATTATGGGGCGTGTCTCATCGGCGACATCTTTCAGTGCAATCGAATTAACCACAATTACGCTAATGCCAAGTATCTGTAAATATCCGAAAAAAACAAAAATGAAACAAAATTCAGTTATGAAATAACATTTCGTGCCACTTAGATATGAATGGGACTCTATGACGAAGCGCAACAGGTAAACAGCTTAAAAAAGTGTTTTTGCTTTTCCGTGTGTGCCGCACCCAGAGCCCTATCTCTACGTACATATATATATATATATATATATATATCTGTACAGTATATATGTGTACTTGAATTCCGTTGATAACCCAACTTTGCTGAACTTTGACGCTGACTAACTGCGACGCAGAGTTTTCCATTTCTTTTGTTTTGGTTTTTTTTTCTAATTTCTTGTATATATTTTGTTACTCACCGCGCAGAGGGCATTGAATATGAATACCAGATATTTGATCGTAGCCGTTGCACAACCCATTTCACTTTTGTTCTATTTCTAAGTATATAAACCAATTTGGCCCAAAACAATTGTTAATACTGCAACACAAAGTCGAATCGTTGCACGCTCGCTGACGACTTTTTTTAGACTGAATTACTAAAAAAATATACAACCGTCGGGCGGTCGCTTCACCGGCGGTTAGTTGCGATAAAAATTGTACGGGAAGTTTTTGTTTGACGGCGTTGAAAATAGAAAAAAAAAATAATAAAATAATAATAACGATAATAAGCGAGTCAGACATACACTGCGAGAAATGCAATGGTAACTCAACTACCTAAGCCCCAAAGACACCGTTTATCAGCAGGGCTAAGACCTCATATCTGGCTGACTAAACGTTACGTGGGGGTGAGTCGTTAACTTGGCTGAGTTATGGGAACTCAATTTTAACATATGTACTTTGTAGCAAAAACACGCCCATAAATATGACTGAGTTATTTAAATGGCAAGATACCCGCACCTAAGGTGTATATTTGGTTTCATTTGGGGGTAAAATAAATAATGCAGGTGAAATGCAAGTGAAAAGCAACGCAAGTGGAATGTATGTAGGTGGAATGCGAAATATTCACAACTCAGTTGAATATTTGGTTTCATTTGCGGGTAAAATAAAGTTGGGTGAAATGCAAGTGAAATACAAGTGAATTCAAATGCAGTAAAAGTGGAATACAGGTGGAATGTAAAGGGAGTACCTTGGAACTTTAAAAAGCTGAGTGAAATACAAGTGGAATATAAGTAAAGCACAAAATGCACATCAAACCCCAGTAAGCCTTATAAGGCAAGTGAAATATGGATGGAATGAAGGTGGAATACCTTGAAACGTTATGTGCTTAAAGTGACCTACAAGTGGAATTCTTTGAAGCATACATATTCACTGGATAAGTGGAATATAGGTGAAATAAAGGTGAATTAACCATAGGACTTATATGAAATGCAAGTGAAATATAGATGGAATATAGGTGGAATACTATGAGACACTGAACATAAGTTAAATGACAGTGGAATATAGGTGGAATATTTTGAGACACTGAACATAAGTTAAATGACAGTGGAATATAGGTGGAATACTTTGAAAAATTATATGATACAGTGTATTTCACAGTCGTGCATACCCGTTTGACGCTGCTTAACCCTGAACCAGTGAAGGGAACGTAGTGTAAACTAATTTGAAGATAACAGCGCTTACCTCACAAGCACTCAACTACACACAGTTATCACAACTGATAGTATTCGTTGACAATGCGCACTAACTCAAGTCTTTATGTGTGCGTATAAAGAAGCCAATTCTAAAATATATATACATATGTATACTTATAGTTTTTGCACCTGGTTGCGTTTGAGTGCACATCAAACTTGCTGGCTAATTGGCTGCAGGAGGCATTGCAGCTGAAAATCGATTTGTGACCAACTCATCAAATTCCATGCCATATATAAACTTTGCATGCCTCTGCACAGCTGTTTTGGTCTGTGAAGCAGCCTTATCAGCTTGAGCTGGAGCTGCTATCTTCGATGGCACTAAGCTTCAAATGGACATTCGTGTGTTATGTTTGATTTGGGCGTTAGGCTTTTTTTTATTCATGCCGCTCAGTTGGGTTATTCACGCTGTGCCTGGTCGACACGGCGAAAGAAAACGCTTTCAAATATATTCACAAAATGAGCTGCGGTACGCAAACGCTGAAAATCTCTTCATTCGTTTTGGATTTTCTTTGCTGCGTAAGTGTTTTTTTTTAATGAATTTTTTTATTGCTAATAGTTGTGATTTCTTGACTTATAGATATTTGCCTCACTGTCCATAGCTGCGTGCTCCTACGCATTGATAGTGTTCACACACAGCCAGGCCATACGCATACCCTGCATTTTGGGCATCGTGCTGGGTATCTTGCTCTTCGGCAGCACCGTCTTTGGCTGCGTTGCGGCGCTGCGTGAGAGCATACGGCTCAGCTGGATTGTGAGTACCCAAAGCAGATCGTTAAGTGTAGAGATTACAAATTGCATATTTCATATTTTCGCCAAAAGTATGCTGCCATTTTGCTGGCCTTGATATGCGCCCAAATTACCGTTATATTCGCACAACCCATCAACTTTGAGCTGCTGGCCAACGAGACCATCTCGAATGCCTGGCAGGAGCAGCTGTATTACAATGGCAGCATGTCCTACTATGAGATCAAAGTAAGTTGAAATTTAATTATTTAATTGATATAAATGAAAATAGCTTGTTTAGTACCACTGCTGTGGCAAATCGGGACCCCTGGACTATGCTGCCAGCGGACTGCGAATACCCGCCAGCTGCTATTTGAACCAGAACTCGACCATAGCCCCGGATTTATATACCGTGGGCTGTAACAAGCGTCTGGCCGGGGCTTATGTGATGGGCACCAGATACGAGCGCATCAGTGACTGGACTGTTGTTGGCCTGGAGGTACATATACATATATATATATTTCAAGTAGATTTACTAATTCCCAAAAATTTGCAGATATTGACTGTTATGGTTGCCGGCCTGCTTGCAATCACATTACAAAATGCGGAGCGTAGACGTTTGTACCGTTAGATCAGAAATTGGGCTTTAATTTGAAACAGTATTTAAAATTGTACAAATATTAAATGTTTGTTTTGTTAAGCATGCGATTTAAAATGTGCGCGTAAGCTAAAAGTTGCTCAGTTAAAAACAGCGCCATCTGTTGTGTATGAAAATAACTATTCATTTAAAATTAGCAGTTGAAGCAATTTAAATGCAAGGCATGTTTGCTGTTGTAGGTGATGCTGTGATCGGCAAACTCATCTGATGCATAAATTAATCTAATTCTTACCTAATAACGAACACCTTATTCAGTAAAATTGTTATGCATATTGCAAACTTATTAAGTATTGGCGCGCCTTTCATGGTTTCATTTGCGTAATGCGACACAGTGCTGCCATCTGTGCGCCCGAGTTATCGAGCGACCGCCACAATATATCGCATCGCCTATCGATATGTTGTTTACAACTTATAGCAGAATAGAAAAAAACAGGAAATTCGCAGCGCGTTCAACTAGTTTTCCGCTTAAAAAGATGAGATTTCAGCAGACAGCATGTATTCATAACGCATTTAGTAGCGTTGGCCATTAGGAGACGCACTCGCGGCTATCGAAGTGCTTAAACTGAACTGTGCATTGGTCGTGGCCAAGTTCAACGCTGGCCACAACAAACAACAGATCAATTTTCTTGGCCAACGCTTAGTTTGGCGCAAAGAGAGTGGGACTCCGAATTGTTGCCGGTCATTAGCACAGCGTAGCTGAAGCAGACAACAACAACGTGCGCGCAAGACACGGGTGTCCCAAAACAATTAATAAAGCAAACAGCCGTTCGTCAAAATGGGTCTGCGCTTCCAGCAGCTAAAGAAGCTCTGGCTTCTATACCTGTTCTTGTTGTTTTTTGCATTCTTCATGTTTGCAATTAGCATAAATTTATATGTGTCAAGTATACAGAACACTGACGCAGAGCCGCGGTGAGTAATGCAAATATAATCAGCTCTATTGTTATCTATGAAAATGGAGTGTGTGCTAAAAGTCTTAGTGAAATTTGCCACGAAATTGCAACCAAGCCTGGCTTCAACCGCGCATCGCTGCATTCGTCCCATTGCATAATTTTCTTCAAGGCAGCAGCGGCAGTTGTTGTTGTTGCAGTGTTGGCAACTTCCAAAAAGAAGCCAATGCAAAAATAAGCTAAAAGTAGCTGGCAGCTGCTTGGTTGACTGCCCACAGATAGCTAAAGCGGCTGAGGACCTCTGAAGCTAGCCAAATTGAGCTAGAAAACAGCTGAATTGTCAACACTGGTTGGTGTTGCAAGTGGCTGCCGGCGCTGCGGTTGTTTCCACTTGAGTGGGCCGCTGGCTGGACGGGTATCTCTCATCTCCAGCCTTGCTTTCGATTTTGCTGGCTACTTTGCATTTTTTTTACGGCATTTCTACTTGTTTTGCTGCCGCTGCTGCTGCTGCTTGTCTTATTGTTAAATGCCCAACATTATTGCTATTGTCATCTTTTGTTTGTTTGCTTGTTTATTTTTTTTATGTTTTTGTCTTTTTTCTTCACTTTTGGATCACTCAACGTGCAAAGTCATCCAAAACCGCCGCCCAAACGACGCTCGCTCTGGCCGTACAAAAACATTGTGGCCCACTATATTGGCAAGGGAGACATCTTCGGCAATATGACTGCAGGTTATTAAACCACAACAAAAAAAAAAAAAAAAACCCATAAAAAATTAAAATAAAATAAAAAACATTCAATGACCATACATTTGCAGATGATTACAACATCAACCAGTTCGAGCCTAAACAGGGCGAGGGCGCCGATGGGCGACCCGTGGTCATACCGCCGCGCGATCGTTTTCGTATGCAGCGCTTCTTCAAGCTAAACAGCTTTAATATCTTGGCCAGCGATCGCATACCCCTCAACAGAACGCTCAAGGACTACAGAACAAATGAGTAAGTCGTGCGTTAAGCTCTATTAATATGCTCTTGATTTGCCGTCTTGCCATTTCCAGATGTCGCGATAAACGTTATGCCCATGGCTTGCCCAGCACCTCGGTGATCATTGTGTTCCACAACGAGGCCTGGTCCGTGCTGCTGCGCACCATTACCAGCGTCATAAATCGCTCACCACGCCAACTGCTCAAGGAAATCATTTTGGTGGACGATGCCAGCGATCGCTGTAAGTCTCTACTTAATCTTAGTTAATCTTACATTCTTATCATCGCTGCCTGCATTCACAGCCTTTTTGAAACGCCAACTGGAGGCCTACATCAAGGTGCTAAATGTGCCCACGCGTTTGTATCGCATGAAGGAACGCAGCGGACTGGTGCCCGCTCGCCTCATGGGCGCCCAGCATGCGCGCGGCGATGTGCTCACCTTTCTGGATGCGCACTGCGAGTGCTCCCGTGGCTGGCTGGAGCCATTGTTGGCACGCATCAAGGAATCGCGCGAAGTGGTCATTTGCCCGGTGATAGACATCATATCGGACGACAATTTTAGCTACACGAAAACCTTTGAGAATCATTGGGGCGCCTTCAACTGGCAGCTAAGCTTCCGCTGGTTCTCCTCGGATCGCAAACGACAGACCAGCGTTAAGCCCAAGGACAGCACAGCGCCCATAGCCACGCCGGGCATGGCTGGCGGCCTGTTTGCCATCGATCGCAAATATTTCTACGAGATGGGCGCCTACGATAGCGAAATGCGCATCTGGGGCGGTGAGAACGTGGAGATGTCCTTTCGCATTTGGCAGTGCGGCGGACGCATCGAGATCAGTCCCTGCTCCCATGTGGGCCACATATTCCGCAGCAGCACGCCGTACACGTTCCCGGGCGGCATGAGCGAGGTACTCACCGCGAATCTGGCACGAGCCGCCACCGTCTGGATGGACGACTGGCAGTATTTTGTGATGCTCTACACGGCAGGTCTATCGCTGAGCGCGCGGGACAAGGTGAATGTGACGGAGCGCTTGGCATTGCGCGAGAAACTCAAGTGCAAGCCGTTTTCGTGGTATCTTGAGAACATTTGGCCGGAGCACTTCTTTCCCGCACCGGATCGTTTCTTTGGTAAAATCATTTGGCTGGATGGCGAAACGGAATGCGCCCAGGCGTACAGTAAGCACATGAAGAACCTGCCGGGACGTGCCCTGTCCAGGGAATGGAAGCGCGCCTTTGAGGAGATCGACAACAAAGCCGAGGAATTTATGTCGCTGATCGATTTGGAGCGCGATAAGTGCCTGCGTCCGCTGCATGACGATGTGCCGCGTTCAACACTGCAGCCGGTGACAGTCGGCGATTGCACATCGCATGCACAGACGATGGACATGTTTGTCATTACACCCAAGGGTCAGATAATGACCAACGACAATGTCTGCCTCACATATCGCCCGCCCAAAGCGGGCGCGCTCAAGCTGCTCAGAAATCGGAATGCAACGACTTCGAATGTGATGCTGACGCAATGCGCCACCGAGGCAAGTCAACAGTGGACCTATGACATGGATGTGAGTAATCAGTGGGCGTCGGGCCTGACTTTTCGATTAATTACATGCTTATCTCCATTACAGACACAACAGATTTCGCATCGCGAGACAAAGCTCTGTCTGACGCTCAAAGCGGCCACAAATGCGCGCAACCAGAAGGTGGAGAAAGTGGTGCTTACCATGGAGTGCAACTTCAAGGATATAACACAGAAATGGGGACTCATACCACTGCCGTGGCGCATGTAAAAACACGGCTTCAAAAACACGATAACGACAAAACGAGATAACAAAAAAAAACCCCCCTGCCAGCGATCTAATACAATGTGATATTTATTGAAATTGTTTAACGCCCCCTCACACACACACACCGACACATACACCGGGACACGCCCACAAGAATTGTTTTGAGTGTTAGCCTGGGAGCTTTTCTCCCCTGCACAAAAAACTTGAATGGTACTCTATGCAATTCTACGTCATATTTATTAAGTCAAATTTTTTAGGCAATTTTAAGTGGCAAAGTAACAAGTACTTTACTTAATACTTTTAACATTTTATAACACTTTAATTTTCTAACAAATTAAATAAACAAATATTAAAAAATTTAGCTTTGCTGCGGAATTTGAAACGGCGACCTGTCGCTTTTCATAGAGACTCATAAATTACATCAAAAGAATGAGAAATAATGTGGAAAATGTCAATGTGCTATCTCCACCTTTAATTCATGTTCATATATATAAATTATATTCAGTCTCTGTAGATTATCAGCTTTGCAGCCGCTTTAAAATTGCAGCATCTGCTGCAGATTGTCGCATTCGCGTTCGCAACATGATCTGCTGCTATAACACCATTAAATACACCGGACTCTTGTCCAATCTGCTTTATATGGTAAGGTGGCGTGTTAGCATTCGCTTAGCTTACATGATTAACTCAATCTTATCTCTTGCAGCTACTGGCCATAGGCGTGTTGGTCGCAGCTGGCCTGGGCCTGCAAATGGCACAGCCAAACACGCCGGAGCATACATACTTTGTGGAGAGTCTCGTGCTGGGCGCCACCATCTGCACCATAGTCATATTCGGCTGCTATGGCCTGGTCTGCGATCTGCTAAGCGTGAATTTAATTGTGAGTCTATGCATTCATGAATTATTCATGCTAATCTGTCTCATATTTCAGTTCACCTGCTTTATACTGATCGTGCTGGGCGTAGAGTATATGCAGCTGCACAACTATCAGCCGTATAGTCGCTATAGCGGCGCCTGGCAGCAGCTGGAGCTGACGCTGGCCTGGCATGGCCTGGACAAGCAGCCGGAGCTGATGCAACAGTATGAGCAGCAGCAGCAATGCTGCGGTTACAACGGCGCCAACGACTACAAGTCTTTGCATTTGCCCATACCGAAAAGCTGTTATCAGCTTGCTGCTGCCGACGACAAGCTCTTTACACGCGGCTGCCAGGCGACATTGAACCACAACCAGAGCCACATACAGCAGTGCGATAAGCTATTCATGTGGTGCATCATTGGCCTTGAGGTATGCAGCAGCCGCGGCATCCGCAGCTGCCAGTTCACTGATCTTTCTAGTAACTAATATGCGCATACCCACAGATCTTTATACTCGTCCAGACCATCGCGCTCAGCGGTCTGCTCTACAAGCTGCGTCAACGCGAGCGACGGGCACGACAACAGGTGCCGCCAGGTGTGCGCCGTGAGCCGCGCGCTAATCATGTGGGCTCGCGTGCCCAGCTGCTGGACAATATTTGAGTAGCTTCTCTATGGATCATAGCAGTTAAGTCGTTTATTGTAGTTTAGCAAATGCAGCGTATAAATCTTAGTTCTAGTACGCGTAACGGCGTGTTTTTGTGGTCAGCTGACAACACAGCGTTATGCCCAAAATAATGCCCACAATCTGAAAAGATAAACACACACATATAAAAGGATACATATTTTTAAATCAAAAGCTGCAGCTAATAATTCACCTCATAGCCAATAAGTCCGCCGTGCGCCCATCTCTCGGAGCGATAGATATTCAAATGGGCACGTTTAACGGCTGTCATGCAGCCCTCGGCATAGGGATAGAGCGCATGCACCCCATCCTTGGTATGGAAACAGCTCTGAGGCACACGCATGCTCAGGCTGGTGTAGTCCGAGAAGCCTTTGTCGCCGCAGCACTCGTACTGGACAACAGAAGTTACAAATATGTTTAACATTTGTGCGAACATGGACTTACCCTGCGCTCCACTTGATGCATGGCGCCCGGACGCACCAGCTCCTTCATCCAGACGCCCATGACAAACTCCTCCGTGGCATCCACATGCTTGGACTCATTGTAGTGCGCCAGACGATAGACGTGTGCACCAATCAGCAACACCAATAGAACCAAATGCTGGAAATCACAATCATTTAGCTAAAGCCCCTTTTTTGATATGGGATTTCCTTAATTACCACCGCCAGCACCTTGATGGAGCCCAGAAAGGCGCCCGAGCAGCCGATGACAGCGGCCAGTATAAGGCTGCCGGCCATGGCCAACTGCATGATCTTGTCCGCATCAATGTGATCCGCGGAGCCCTCGTCCAGTTTATAGAGCAGCTCATAGACGCCAGCCAGGGCGGCCAGGCTGCCAATTAGCTGTGCAAACATAAAAGTGAAATTAATTGGGAAAATAAGAAAATCATGTGAATTAACAACGCGTCACACAAAAACAAATTAAAAAACAAAAACCTGGCCAAAAATATAAAAAACAAAATAAAATCAAATATCTTGCCTGCCTTTGTCAGGCAGCAGAAACCAAAATAAAAACAAATACAGACGCATGAAATTACTTTCGGCTTTATTTTTAAATGCCCCGCCGGACACGCACACATACACACACACACACTCAAATTGTTGTGCGAAAAATGTTAGCAATAATTAAAAATAAGTAAAATGACATCTTGTCTGGGCATCGCATCGGAGGCAGGAGATTTGTTTGCTGCCAAATTGGCCATACAGAATATGTAAATAAATAGCAACAATTAAAACGTAAAGCGTGAAAAGTGATTGAAAATTTAATGAGATTTAACAGCATATATATAGGCTATATATATGTATGTGTGTGTGCAATCGAGTGCTTAATGAGCAAATTACTCATACGCACCGTGAGTCAAGCGGCGAGCTGTTTGTTAATGGAATATCTTGAGTAAAATCGTATAAATGCTAATGAGCGTACATATGTCAGCATAGCACTAATTCACATGCCTATTTTCGAAATAAGTTTATGCACTAAACTAAAACTAAACAAAGAGACTAACTGGATTTATGAAAACTCACCAAAGTAAATGTATTGAACACGACCGCGGTCCATTGCAGACACACCTGCAGTGTGGGCATTGCGTGTCGCAGCTACTAAATCGTTTTTAATTTATGCTAATATATATATATATATTTTTTTTGTCTTTTTTATGTTTTTTATATGGCATTCGCTCTGGTACGATCTCCAATCCGCATGAAGACGCGCGCGTCTCGTGGCCCAAACTGTTAATGCTTTTCGGCTGCCAAGAGAACTCAACTCGCTCAGTTTAAAGAAAAACTGCGAAATGTTTACAAAAGCGTTGAGTGCTTTTTTTATTTTTCTTTTCTTTTTTTTTTTTTTTTGTGGTCGTTACTCAAGAGACACAATTCCCAGCAGCTGTGCCCCGCTGCCCCGCCCGCCGCATCGTTCCACAACTGCGAATTGTTTCACATGTATTTTTATATATATTCAACTTTAAAGGCAGCCCATATATCTATCCACTTAGCCGCTTATACTAGATATGCCATGGCTATAAGTAGTTTGGAAAATTTACAACAACAACAACAATTCAAATAGGAAGAGATTTATAGCATTTAAACGTATTATATTAACTGAGTAAGTTTTCGTTTGCAAACGTTTTGTACGATATTTATTTATTTATCATGTGTAAAATGCCAACACTTATAGATGCTACGTTTAAGTTTCAATTGCATTACGAGCTATTGATTAAATGGGGGGTGGGGCACATCTTTCAGAAACGCTCGCGCCGCAGTTTATTGCGCACGGTGATGCCCAGGTGGGTGGCTGTGCCCAGAGCGCAAAGCTGTGCAGATGAAAGACAGAAGGTGAAATTGTTTAAATTTCAAAAAAAAAAAAATCGCTTACTTCGTTGCGCTGAAGATCAAATACCCTTATGGAAGAGCAGAAAGTGTGTGACATATATCTATGGGACTTAAAATTTTCGTGAAATGTTTCTAGAACTCAAATAAATAACCTATTTTTTTTTTTATTTCAGCTGTTTTATATAGTTATGCGATTTCGATTGGATGTTGTAATAAAGAACTTCGCACAGCTGAAAAGTCCTTCAGTGGAGTCTTCTAATTACAAAAAGTAAGTTTTCATTCAAACTTTTTGTTTTCTACCTTTCGTTCCTATGTTATCTATATATACAACTACTATATAAGTGATCCAATGTGGATATATATCTGACATGTATACTTCCTGCAACAAAACAAACAGGCAGACATAGTGATATCGAGTACACTCTATATACTCTCTCTCTCTCTCTATATATATATTGTTATGACCCCGCATATATCGTGCGACAAAATTATTATGCTCTTTATGTTCCACAAGGGTATGAAGAATTGTTTTCAAAAATCTTTTCTTGGCCCGCCTAAGCCAGCCATAAATTATTGTCTGTAATGATGTTAAGGTCGGACGTTGAAAACTTGCCTCGAGCATAAACAGCAACCACTTGATGATCAGCCCGTTAATGACATTGTCTGTGGCATGTGCCTGCACAGCGTCCAAGCAGCCGCCGCTGAAGAGTTGACTCTGCACCCGTTCCTTATGGCCATAGCAGCTGAGCGGAAAACCGGACCCCTGGAGTATATAGTCCTGTGGCCCGCTTTGGCCACAGCATGTGTACTGTGTCGAAAAGGAATGCGTGAATCATTTGTTAACTGTACTCCGCCGGCTTACCTTCTGCTCCAGATAACTAATGCGTTCCACGTTGCGTCGCTGATCTGACCAGAGAGCTAGGAAATCCGCACGTGCCCGTTCCACATAGTCCGTGAGATGGGCAGCCGCAATTATATAGATTTGCAAGCCGATCAATATCAGCATGCAGCTGACAAACTACAGGGTATACAGAGACTGTTAGGTAATATCTATATAAAAGTTTTTTGGGAGCTTGAAAATTTGAGCTGCAAGTAGGGAAAACAGAGGTTCGGACTAGCAAGCCAAAGGTCGCTGGTTCAAATTTTATATGTTATAATTCCAAATGATATAAGCTAAGCCAACAAATTTAAAAAGAAGCACATAAATTCGAGCTTCAGGACGGTGCTTAGGGAAAACAGAGCGTCGGACTAACAAGCGAAAGGTCGCTGGTTCAAATTTCATATATTTTTGCTATCATTTCAAATGAAATAAGCAAAACCAACAAATTTAAAAGGAAACACTTAAATGGCAAGGAAATAGATCTTTAGTTTTAATATGATCGGATTTGTACCTATGTATATGAAGTTGGCTCGAATAGCATAAAAAAGTTTGGTAACACTTGAAACTTTTCAACAGAATTTCTACGAACCGTGCAATGCCGATTATTTGCATCAAACTTACGCTCCAAATGAGTCCCAGCGAAATGCGCGCGCCCGCAAAGCAGCCCAGCAAGGAGCTGAGCACCACAAAAGAGCCCACAAATATCTGCACCACGATGGCGATATGCTGAAAGCTGCCCGGCGTGACGTTGTTCAGCTCGTATAGGGACAGTGCAATCAATGTGACGCCAACCAGCTGCAAATCAATCGGGCCGTGAACGTCTTGTGCAATGCCACAGGAAATAACTCATACGAATATTACGCATACGCACCGATAGCAGCACATTCAGTGCGATAAGTATGGCTTTCAGGCAGGATACACGACTGGCCATGTTCGCAACGCAAACCAATCGATAGTGCGTCCAATTGCGTTTCGGTAACTTTCGTTCGTATGATAACAAAAAAAACCAAGTAGTATATGTGTTGTAAATAATAAACGCGCTCCAGCTCCAGCCCTTTTGCCAGACACGTTCAACTACGACTAAACGACGCGCATTTATTTTGAAATTATGGCGCCCCCAAAAAGGCCAACAACACCCACCAAACAGCACGGCAATCCGACTGTCTGACATTCGGCTCGCTGTTTGTTATTGGTGGCTTCTTCTGAGAAATCAACGTTCGAGTGCTGACTCTTCTTGTTGCTATACCCTGTAAATGTTCAAAGCAGTTAGATAGATTGGTAGATTGAAATCAACATTCGTATGCTGACTCTTCTTGTTGCTACACCCTGTAAATATTAGGTAGTTGGACTGAGATTAGGCAGGTCCTGAAATAGTTGCTACTTTAATCAGGTTTTTATCATACTTACGCTTAGAAGTGGGAAAGCCCCACAAAAAAAGTTCCAAGCAGAAACACATTCAAATATCTTGAAAAATACCTAAGTACAGGGTATCTGTGAGCTCAACAGCTTCACCTATGGCCATAATACTTGTTGTGCTATTAATGTTCAGTCTCTTGGCGGAGCATTTGTCCTATATAGTATACGTACGTAAGCGTTCATTGATAAAGTGCGCAGCAAAATGCCATTTGTAAATGATACTGTGATAAGGATATGATAAGGACAACAAAAGCAATGAGCGAAACCAAGCAACCTTTTCTTAAGGAACAATTTAGCTGGTTAAAACCAAGTGGGCGGGGAGAAACTTCTTTCTGTAAGGTTCTATAATAAGCTGAGCAAATATTCGAACTATTGAAAATGTTGTCCAATTTCTTGACTTTTTCGCTATTTATTGCTCTTGTACGTGGCATCGGCGAGTTAAGCGTGCTGCAAAGTCCGATGTCAATGGAATTCACCGGCAGCGATTCACTGGAGAGTTTTTACGTGGGCGATGTACTTCTGGCTGCATTGGGCAATAGTGTGACTGGCAAATCCGAGTGGACCGGACTGACCATCAAGGATCCCTTTCAATTGGAGCAGACAACGGTGATTCTTGTCCATGTGAAGGGAGTTTATCGTGTGGCGACGCCGGGCAATTACATGGTATACGAACTGCTTGATTCGGACACCGCGAATTCGATTGATAATTTCATAGCACAGCTGGAGCCCGGCACAGTTAACGATTTCAATTTTATTAATCATAATCTGGGTGTCTTAACGTACAGGTCCTATTTTGGAAATCAGGACGTGCCCATGGCCGAGCCCATACGTTTCTTAAACCCTCGCGATTATCTGAGCCATCAGAATTTTCTCGAGGAGGTCGGCTATATGAATGCCATTGCGGGGAACTTGAGCGGCCTGCTAAAGTCCTCGCAGGTGATCGTCTTTCGCCTATCGCTGGATCGCATTGCCAAGGTGACCAAATACACCATACTCTTTGAGGCCAAGCAACTGGTCGCCGCAGCGATTGCAGATCTCCTGGCCGCTGCGAGGAATATCAGCAACACCTTGCTTTTCGTGCAGACCACGGACAAGCAGATGTCTGCAAGCAGCTTGAGACACGGCAATAAGTCGCAAAACTCGACAAATCCGTTCAAAAAATTCAATGGTTTCGATTATCCGATTATATGCAACATTGTGGTATGGCTCAGTCTGGCATATACGCTCTCGCTCGCAGTCATTTGCTATGTAATTGTCAATATCGATCCTGGCAGGGATTCAATCATCTATCGCATAAGCTCTGTCCACAATTTCCGCTCAGACGCAAATCAACATAAGAAGAAGCACTAAGAGTTGATAGATGTGCTGTTAAATTTATTCTAATGCACTAATTAAACGGCCAATATATGTTCACAAGCGATAAGAGCAATTTTCATTTGTAATTCGCAAACGGTTTAAGCGCTGGCAAAGATAAACACAATGCGTCACTTGAGGGCTCACTTAATATTTTACTTAGTAATATGCAAAAGCAAAAAATCCAATTTCCATTTCCATATATATAAACATTTCAATTAGTTAAAGATATCACATAAAGCGGCAACACTCAATGGTTCGCATTGGATCATCAGTTTTGGCATACCCTAAACTATGTGCCTTGTTTACCAATTAGCCAGCCCTCGTTTTGGCCAAAACGCATGCCAAAAAAGCAAAACAAATTTGACAAATAGACGCTAATACATATTTACATGTGTCTGTAGCTAAGGTATGAGGCTGGCAGATGAGCAACAAGTTGTCTGCCTCGGCCAGCGCATATTTTCATTTTGGCCCGGCCCGTACGCATTTTCCTCTTTTTGGCCTTGAACATGTGACGTTGCTCTATTTATAAACAAGCCAAATTTTGTTGTATCTTTGAAAACGGGAATCGTAGTTGAGAGCGCGCTCGCACCACGTGTGGTATACGCAATATTTTGAGATTTAACAAAAGAATCATAATAAGGGCTATAAAAATTCGCTATAAACTCTGACGGCATTGAATACGTTTCATGCGGCCAGATCGAATTACTTTATCATATAGCAAGCATGGGAATTGGTTTTGAACAAAACTGTCAAATTCTTATATGGCGAGCTTTACTGTTATTCCCATAATTCTTATTCTTATTCCTTATAATTCTCAACAAGTTTTTCAAAAGGAACTTTTGATAAGTTTCGCCTCACCTAATCCCAAAAACCCAAAACAAACGCTATCATTTATTAGAATACACGCACAAACACATACATATTTAGTTTTATTTGCTTTATAAACAGTTCAAATAAATTAAAAATTATAAATTAACTAAGTACTTAGCTTATGTTTGTAGCATTTGAAGTAAAGTTTGCAGCTTATGAATTGTATGCATATAATTTTTGTTTGGTTTGTTTGGTTTTTTTTTCATGATTAAAAATAAAGATTTATGCTCGAATAGGCGGAGCACAAATCAAATACTTAATATCCTGCCCCCGTTTTGTACTTGTCATCTGCCGCAACAGTTGGCCATTAAAATTGCATGCGCCGCTGTTTGTTGCGGAAACTGATGGCCAGAAAGACGGCCAGCACAAAGCACAACAGCTGCAATTGGTAACACGATTATTAATGTATTCAATATGTAGTTGTATATTCAATATATAGTGGACACCCACCTCGAAGGCCACCAGCACCCAGGAGACAATGATGAAGCGCCGCTTGTCGCTCTCGTAATGGCACTGCAGCTTCTCGATGCAGCCCTCGACAAACAGGTGCTCCGGCTTCTGCTGCAGATCGGCATAACAGCTGGGCGGTATCGATTGCCGTAGATGGACATAGTCCTGGGCGCTTGTCTTGCCGCAGCACTCGTACTTCTGCTGCAGTCCGTCCATGTTGTTCGCCTGCCAGGCCAGCTCCACGGTCTGCTGGGCGCTCTGCACCTCGAACTGATGCAAGAACATGCAGGTGCTCACAATTTGCGGTATGGCCAGCACCAGCAGAAACACAGCACTCTACAGGGAGAATATTGTACAGTAATTACTCGCTATAAATGCAACAGCTGCACAGTTGAACCCTACCGTTGCGGTCAAACAGACCGATTCGCGTATGGCCGCAAATATGCCCAGAAAGGCGAACAGCACAATTATCGCGCAGGCCACGTAGGCGGCGATAACAAACTCCTCGCTCTCCGTATCCGAATTGACGGCTATCCAACCGATGGCACCCACTGCGAGGAGCTGTAAGATTAACGCAACATATCAAACTGGAAATTCTACGGGTGAGTCATCTGACAATATATACTACATAGGATGCGAGCACAAGGTCCAAGTGCAATATTATGAGTTTGAGTCGAAATCGAAACGCTTTTCGCAATTTGTGGCACATTAATTGAGGTTTGTCAAATGATACAAATATATATAAATATATGGTATATAGAGATACCATATATGTGGCACAGAACCGCAGAGCGCGTCACTTGAATGATTTCTATACTCCTTCAACAAAGTGAAAAGAGTATATTGGTTGTGTACAGAGTATACTTATTTTGTTAATTCTCGCTTTGAACCTTGGAAAATGTATTCAAGCACCACAAACTCCTTTAAAGCTCAAATCGTAAATTTATATTTTACAGAGTTCTACAGCTTAAGTGACCAAATTTGGACTGGGAACGAGCATAGCCTAGTCTGTTATACCCCACGGCAATAATTTTAAATTTTACCTTTTTTACTAGCAGAGAGGGTATTAAATTTTGTTACGACTTACATCAAAGCAGACACCTACAACCACATTAAGTCTATATATATATATACATCTGATCTGTAAAAACAGGCTGAGTCATGGCTAGGAACATTCGGTCAAATGATCATAAATTGGCTTATGCGTGCTAGGGTATTTAATGTTCGAGAGCTTTTCACTTTATTTTCGTTCTTTGTCTGAAGACAGTCAATTGGTTGATTACATTCGGGCGGGGGTGTTGTTTGCGCCAAACACACCCCGTTTGGCATTGAGGGTTGAGGTTGAGGCCTATGCCTGGATTCGGATAACGCTATATAGGTCAAACTACAAGTAAGTGTAGTTTGCCATGATGACATCATTCGACAGCCAGAAACTGGTGCAATTGTGGGCGCAGGGCGTCCGTTTCCTGCACAAGCACAAGACTTGGACTCCCCGGCCCAGTCAAAACAAACCAAAAGCTGCAAGTGTAAACATGCTAGCTATGGTAACAGGGGCAAATCTCAGGGGGCGGGCAGGGGCTAGTCAAGGGGGTGTTGTGCGATGCGTGTGTGTATTGGCCAAAGACCTGTCGTCGACGTGGCTAAAGTGTGTGAAACTGACAAATGACAAAATATTAAAAATACAACATGGCCAAATATAAGTGGCCATACGTGGGTTTGTCTACTAAAGACGTGGAGGGAGGGGGGGTGCAAATAACATTGGGGCCATGTGCATGTGAGAATTTTTGAATATTCTAGCATCTTGCAGAACTGCGGTCTAGCCTTATTAAATATATATTTGGTTAAATTCGGTAGATAGCCCAAAAGCTGATTTCTTTTCGCTTTCATTCTGGGGCCATATGACATCATGCTTGCAAGTGGTTTATTTCCTTTTATTTTTTGTTTTTGTTTTTTGAATTGAATGCATCAGTGAAATAATAAATGTCAATGAAATATTTAAATAACAATTTGTGCATGTGTGTGTGCATTTGCATAACTTGCTCTGTCTCGCTTTTTGTTATATATACAATTTTTGTTTTTTTTTTGTTTTATCAAAACTTACCGCCAAAATGGCATTCAGCACAATGGAGCTAATCTTGACGGTTTTTATGGCGCAGCCCATTTTTCAAAATTGACTTTGGCAAGCTGAAAATTGAAAACAAACTTTTAATATATACAAATACTAATTCAATCACTTTTTACTACAAAACTAAATAGTGTTCATCGATAATAAAATGCATTTAAATCGCTTTGAATTGGATTTAAGTGCAATTTTGAAGTTATGTTTATTTTTATTTTTTAATAATTGTGCATAATTAGCTGGGAGCTCATAAGCATATGAAATTGTTCTCAATTTACACACACACACAAATATCATAGCACAAAGTTTCTTAACCTTTTGACTTCCAAAACAACAAAGCGCTGTTGTTTGTTTTCGAAATAACAAAGTAAATACTTTTTCAAATGTACTCGAATCCGTTTCAGAGACTGGCGCGTTCCGCGTTTGCTTGCAAACTGAATCCAAATAAAAAAGTTCGTTATTTTCAACATTCAAAACGCCTCACACACACACACACACACGCGCCCGCTCACCCACAAGCACTCTCTCTCTCACACACACACACATGCGCAGCAGTAGCCATTGGTCACACACAAACACAGTCACATCTTAAGAGAGAGCGCCAATGCGCTCGCGCAGATGAGCGCTGCTCGGCTGTGACGTCACCGTCAATCGCTCAATACGTCATATTGTAAAGCGGAACAAGTGCTTCTTCTTCTTCGTGCTGCAGACTTTTGGGGATGTGAATTGAGTAGCGGCTGCGAAATAAAGCTAATTCGGCCATATCCTTGCAGGTTTTAACGTAAACGTCTGAGGATCAAGCAGTTAGAGTCTTTGAGCGCATACGAATAGCTCCCTATTATCGCAGAGCTCGTCAGGACAATTTGAATGTGTTCTGACCAGCGGAAAGCACTTGCCTTTTCGAATTGTTGGACACTTAACTATCCAGATTCTATAAGGTTTTTGCCTAAATAAGCGAAATAAGTCCTTATTGGAAATATTTCTCTAAGTCGGCCGTATCCTTGCAGAATTTCAAAGGACATCTTTCATTAGGATCGCGAGAAAAAACTTTATCGATCAGCATTCAAGGATATGGGGATCATCTAAGAATACAACACACAAGTCCTGTTCAAAGGACTTTCGTCCTTTTAATTGCATATGTCGAATCTGCAGGATTCGAATTTCCTTTTAGCCAAAGGACATCGGGATTGTCCTACAAATGGCCAAGATATTCAAATTTTTGTGCACAAGTTCTTTTATAACAAGCGCGGAGCCAGATTGCTTTCCGTTGCGCTGCCAAATCAAATTAAACGAGATTATATTTAATGCCCTTCTACTCGATTTTCAAAAACTCAAGTAAGCGACGCAGGTTTCAGGCTGTGACCGCAAGTGTTTTTTTTTTTTGTCGTGTTTTTTTTTGTTCTGTTTGTTGTATGTCTGTATGTATGTAAGTATGTATGCATGTTTGCATGTATGCATGTACGCATGTATGTATGTATGTATGTATGTATGTATGAATGTACGCATGTATGTACGCATGCATGTTAGCATGTATGCATATACGCATGCATGCGCATGTATGCATGTATACATGCATGCTTACATGTGTGCATGTGTACATGTAATGTAATGTAATGTACATGCATGTATACATGCATGCTTACATGTGTACATGTAATGTACACATGTGCATGTGTACATGTAAGCATGTATGCATACATGCATGCAGGCATGGATGTGTGTGCGCGCGTGTTCGGGCATCTTATGCCAATCGAAGACAGGCGTACTTTTTGCTGTGCTGCAATTATCTGCCCCCTCCTACTATCAGATAGCAAATATTTATGTGTGTACATTTGCAGTTTAGGGTAAGCACATTTTTACATATATTTCTATATGAAAATAATCATATTAAAATCAATACTAAATCAATGCGTACTTTTGACTTTTTAATAAATTTAATTTTATTTCAAATATATTTTTTCAAGCTTGTTGCATTTGCGGTTCCTACTTAAAGCTGTCAAGATAAAACTGCAGCTCTCTCGCTCTCCTTCCCTTTCTCTTCCCCACTTTCTCTTAATATCTGGCCTTGGCCATGGGTGTAAACTTAAATATTGTAGATATCATTTTGGGGAGCTAAGCTGTGCCAGCTGCTTTCCCGCAGATGGGCTAGAGAGCTTAATCAAGCGTGTCGTCATTGGGAGCGCGATAATTTTTGGCTTTTTTTACCCCCACGTTTCGATTGACTTGCCTAATTGATTTGAAGAGCTTGCACTGTGGAACAAAACGCGATGGCTAGCTGTCGAAAAATGAAAGCAATTGCAATTGTTTATTCGAGCTAAGTTTATATTTAATTCATTTGATTGCTTGGCAAGTGAACACATGGCGCTCTGTGCGGTTCAAAGATTGCATAAGTAGGTACATTGGTGACACTTATAGATGAGGTACTAGGAGTACAATTCGACTGACTTAGTTCTGGCTAAATATAAAATTAATAATTATAGCGACGTCTGCGATTCGAATAGTGTATGGCTAGTATGATCGCCAGTCCGAGTATTATCAGCTGAAAGCAGACAAATTGTAAATGTTAGAGCGCGAGGCAGTCGGGCAGCTGACGGCGGAGGCACTTACATCGAAACCCAGCAGGCCCCATTCAAAGTAACGCGATGTGCTGGCCTCATCAGCAAAGGCCGCCTCCACTTTGCTCAGACAACCATCTGTATAGACATTCAATGGATTCAGGCAGTTGTTGCCCTTGCAACAGCTCGACGGCACTGTATTATTTCTATGCCCAATGGCAATATAGTCGCCAGCTCCATAGCGTCCACAGCAGGAGTACTATGCAAACGAGTTAACTTTAAATTGGAAACACTTTTAGTTAGCCAGCACTCACCGTCTTCTGTATCAGATCCATGCTGCCCGGCTTGGTCAGCTCCAGTTGCCAATGATCCTCCACCGTCTGCATTGCATACCTCTTGAACACGTCGCGGGTATTGAAGAAGATGAAGACGGCTATCAGCACCAGCAACACCAACAGCAGCGACACATACTACACAACAAAGAAGAGAAGTCTTAACCCAACTCTGCAAAACTCGTATCTATTGAAATACTCACCGTCCAGAGCATGCGCGACGATTCGCGTATGGCCCCAAAGCAGCCGAACATCGATATCAACAGTATAATGCCGCCCAGTACCATGATGCCGATGGCATATTGCTGCGGCATGGCACCCCAGCCAAGGCCGCCAAACACGATGACCAATATACCAAGTATCTGAAATGTTCAATATGGCACATAGAGAGCGTAAATTATAGAATGGCAGATTTCAGTATAGTGAATCATTATTCAAAAGTGGGCGTTTGGTTACACGCCCTCCCATTTCTACTGAGAGGCAAACAAATTATTGTTTCTATTATACTTAGTATTGCCTGAGATTCGAATCTGGATTCTCATTATTCTATATTATCTACCAAGGATCTCAAGGATTTGGATTCAGAGGGTTCTTCTCACACATACACCGTTAATACTTTTATTCATTGCCAATGCATGATCTAATTGGACATATCAGAGCTGATGTCATTACATATGTGAGCATATCGTCATTTTAGCAGCAAATGACTGGTTCAGTTAACTACCAAGCACATCAAAGATTTGTTTCTCTTAACTTTTCAGAGGGTTGTCTTCACACATATTCCATAAATGCATCAGACATTGCCGATTTCCGCAACTTTTCTTCAAATGCTTAAACTCATTATTTCTGATGCATGATATAATTGGAAATATCAGAGCTGATGTCATGAAATATGAGAGCATATCATCATACTATACAATATTCTGGCCAATTTGTGGTTTTGAGCACCAAAAAGAAACGAATGTAGCTGCTTTCATCGCCAGGTGTTGACATTGGTGTCTCGTGTGTTTTCTAATCCGGTTTCTATTACGATTTTTTTTTCTTCGGTTTTTAATTATTATACTAAATCTGAAGGCATGACGTCGTTGTCGCTGGTCGCTTGTTAACAAAGAAGCTTTCCAAGCGGCTCAAGGAATGCAAAAAGCCACAGACAATAGACACAGATACTCGCACACACACGCCCGCTCGCTGAGCGCTAGAAAACGCGCATGTATGTGTTTTTTTAGACTAACAATAATAGTCGTGAACTAAGCACGCATATACAAGATGATATCATCTGGTGTTAGGTAGAGCTACAAAAAGGTTTGTTCGTTTTTTTTTTCTTTTTCCTGATGTGAAACATTTTTGCCAATATGGCATAGCAAATGCAATGCTTCACATTTGCCAATGCCAGATGTTTCACTTGAAAAACATTTGAAAACTTTTACAACTTACCGCCCATAATGCATTGAAGAGGAATAATGAGTATTTAATGGAGCCCGTAGCGCAGCCCATGATTGCAACTAATCAAATTTCTTACAATAATGTTTGTATATAAACAAATGTGGACACGTGCAACAGTTTGTCGAAACAAAAAAGACAGAAAACAACAACTCGACAATGTACTTGTTTTTAAGCTATTTTTATTTTTTGATTTTTAATTACAGCCGAGAACTGTGAGCGCAGACGGTCGCGTACGAACTACAACTGAAACTGAAACTGAAACCGAGGCCCGAAGCTGGCGAGCAAAGAGCACAAAACGGCACAGTGGCACGCGGAGCACCACCACGGAGCACCACTGAGCACCACAGTGCAAACAAAAAGACGGTAAACAAACATGAAAAGCAAAAATAAAAAAGCCAAAATCAAATGTCAATGTGTGTACATGTGTGTGCATGTTTGTATACCAAAGCCCCAGCGATGTCGGAAGCCAAACAAACAAACAAACAAACAAATAGCCGGGCGGTCTGACCCAGCCGGAGAGCTAAATGATTGAGCGGCCAACGAGCTACAAAGTGGTGCACTCTGGAACTGGGTCTATGGTAAATAGCTGCGACGCCAGCTCTCCAATGTGCCAGATGTTACAGCCGAGAAAGAGAGACGGAGAGAGATACGCTGTGGCGATCAGACGGCTCTTAGAAACTAATGCGCTGTGATTATCGAACACATTGCGTCATGAATGGGTAGCATGAGTCGATTGGGAATGTTAAGATGAATGAGCCGAATGACGCCAGCTCCAGGCCAGGCCGGGGTATGCATCCATAATAGATAATTAATAATAATTATACAACTGCCCTGTGCATTTACTACCGACAGCAGTTTATTTGTAATTTTCTAAAAATAATGTTGACAAATTTTTTGAAAAATTATATTCCAATTCGAAAAGTTGTAAATATTTGAGATAATTTAACACAATAAGCAAATAAGAATGCGACAGACGGCTGTAACCGACTGCTTAATGCTCGTTCACACTCCAATTGTGAGAATATTTTTTTAATGTTATCGATTTTGTCCATTTTGCTATCGATCTTCAACGCTCATCGATAGTTATTCTTTTAAATTTTGTTAACCCAAGTAAGATATAGATTTTTGATTAGATCTTTATAGGAGATCTATGTTATAAGAGTTGAGATATATAGAGCCCCAGTGGAGCCTGGCTATACAATTTTAACACTACGACTGAAATATATTCAAAATTCAAGTCTTTAGCTTGCAATAAAATTTGCATTCAGATTGGCGGACAGACAGGCATACGACAAACGGAATATACACTTTTTGCGTTTGTGATCGAGCTTGAAAATCAGTTCGTTTTAATAATGATACGTGTATCTTTGGCGTTCCTTGCGAAAACGTTGCACCAAATAGAAAGTACAGAAGCACAAGAGAGCCTGAAATGGAAGAGTTTAATCAAGTTTAATAAAAGTATCTGAATATAGCTAAAAAGGAACTCACCGTAACTGCAAATGAGCCCCATTTACTATTATCAGCATAATTAAAGAATCTCAAGAACTCATCGGCAGCGGCATTTACGCAGCCCGTGGTAAAATAGGGTATATTGCGTTTGCCATCGGGATAGCAACTGTCCGGCAATGTAGCACGATCGATGCTCACATAGTCATCGGGTCCATTGCGTCCGCAGCACTGGTACTGTGCGGCAACATTATGAAGAACTCAATTAGTGCCATATGAGAATTTCGAAGTTAATTTCACCTACGGTACGCTGTATTTTATCCATGGCACCGGGCTCGATCATCTCCAGTTTCCATTTGACATCAACATCTTCGACCGCATAGCGTTTAATGTAATCCTCATCGAAGCTGTTCCCAAACAAGCCAAACAATTGCACAATCAGCAAGGCCAGCAAGATGAATCCATACTTGGGTATTGGATGTTCGGGATTTAACATAGAATATCGAGTCAGGCAACGGCCTCTGGCACTTTGTTTATCAAGTTCACTCACCGTTGTGGTCAGGCACACACTCTCCTGGCAGATGCCGCAGCAGCCGATAATAGACGATGCAAACAGAACCCCGCCAATGACATACAGATAGATAATATATGCAGTCGGCGCCTGGCTCAGACTCAGCGTAGCAATGCCTATTATCAACAGGCCAAAGAGCTGTACGTTTATATAAAAGAGATAATTGATAATTATAGAAATTCCGATTTATTTGCATTTTTGTGGCATATGCAGGTTATCTTAACTTGAAATAAACTGGAATGTTTTTGGTGTAAGTTAGCTTTTGGATGACCAAGATTGAATACTTTTTAATATATATAGCGGCATTTTTGTATACTTATATTCAAGTTAATTTGCTAAAGGTACTTTATGATATATTGAGACGATGTTGAGCCTATTTGAGTCCGTTTATAGAGTTTGGATCCGGTTTTTTGCGAGTCTAACAAACTCTTTCAGACAAGAACTATGTTTTAGATTATTTAAGTGCATGAAAGTCTATGATATAGTCTTCCAATCCGACCTAGTTACAATCAACATAAAGATACAATGGGTATACATAAAAACAGAGGGACGGATATGGCTATATGCAGTCGGCAGCTGATCAAGAACATATATATATATATGGTTTATGCTGTAGATTCCTAAGATTCTGAACAACATTTTACTATAGCCTGCAAGCTCTTATGCTATATATATATAGCTTTATTTATTGAAAAACATAAAACGTCTCACAATATAAACATTTTATAACCCTTGGCTGTAACATATATTTTACATATATAAATAAGCGCTCACATATAAGTATTTCCACCTATTAAGTACACTGTCTAACCAAAAACCGGCTATAAATTCGGACAATTCTGATACAAAGTGCGAAATTCGAGGTGTCTATATATTATCTCACAGCTAGAAATATACGCTTTATACACTCAAGAACTTGTCACTCGACGGACGAAAATTGAATTTCTTAGGCGAAACTTCTCTCTTCTTTAACTTACCGCATAGAGCGTGTTGAGAATGTTGAGGAAACACTTAAAACAACCGGAAGTACAGCCCATGTTGACTAACAAGATTCCAAATGTTGAATTAATTGGCGTATATATATGTTGTATATATATATAAAATATACACAACCGATCGCATCGGCGGCAGCTGCCCGAATGATGCCAGACACAAAGGCATTGAATATATTTTGTTCTTCACGTTTTGAACAGTGTTGTCGAGTTGCTGGAATTGGAATTTGTTTTCTTATGGGAGCCGAAATTCAAACTGCGTACGTCGCATATTTATGTATTTTTTTTTTATTGGAAAACGGCAATTAAACTAATTTAATTGTTTAGTTTGGCTCGAAGCGCGTTACAACTAACTAAATTGCACTACAAGTATGCTGCGCTAGGTCTAATCCTCGCTAATGGGTGTCTCGTCGTCCTTGATCTTCAAGAGCTTGCGCGCCTTGCCCATGAGAAATGCAAAGAGCATGCTTAAAAGCTGTAATAAATAATTGTTTAAATTAGCACTAAGTGAATATTTATTGGCCGACTTTACCTCCAGCACAAATATGGCAATGGCTGCGTAATAATTCACATCAGCCTGAAATTGCAAACCCTGTATGGCCTTTGTGCCGCAGCCCTCCTGATATATATGCCTGGACACAGTGCAATCGAAGGCATAACAGCAGCTGGCCGGCAAGGCGCCATGCTCCTTGACCAAATAGTCCTGCGGCCCCTCCAGGCCACAGCAGCGGAACAGGCTGTGTATGGGCTGCATGGTGTCATTCTGATTTGTTCTCTCCGCAAACAAACGCTTAATGCGCTCCTCGAACCGCCACATCAGCTGGCTTTTCATGCTCGAGAAGATGATAAAGTAAATGACCAGCATAACGCTAGCCAAAATGCTGCAAATAATATACTGCAAGATGTATGAAACTTGAGTTAAGGTCAAACGATATGTGATCTATATATGGGCACTCACATAATTGGAGAACTTGTAGGACTCCTTTAGGGCGACATAAAGTCCCAGGAAAGTGACAGCAAAAATAAGAGCGCCGCAGAGGGCAGACGAATAGCCACCGTAGACCGAAGCCGAAGAGCCCCAGGTGACAACGCCGCACGAGAAGAAGAGTATATTAAAGCCCTGTTACGAAGAGAAAGTGATTAATATAATCGCGACAACACATTAACGAATACAGCACGAAGAAGGAATACAAAAATCGCTTGATATTGATAAAAATCGAAATAGATGCAATGTATCTGCATATGAGATGCATTGCAGTAAAACGTTTAAGAATACAGCCACAAAGAAGAATTAAGAAATGGCATGGAATTGAATCAAAGCAAATCCCTGTGCAGAAACTGTGTACATATGAGTAACAGTAAAAGGCAGTAAAACGTTTACGAACGCAAAGTACAAAGCAGAATTGAAGAATAGCAAGAATATTTGCTTGGAAAGCATATTCGTGCAGCACAGTGAAGCGTTAATGAAGCAAACAAGACAAATTGAAATATCTTGTATTTTTATGAGAAACGAATACACGGTGCATTTGTAAATAGTGTCGGAAGACAGGCGGCATTTCGTTCAGTTTAAAAATATTACAGCTATAACTATGGGCATGAAATGCCGTGGGGCTCGACGCGAACTGGCAATTATGCAAACATTTTGCCGCATTACGTATACAACATGTATGCCAAAATGAGATCGAAAGTAAACATTGATATAATTTAAAAGCAATTGATGGTCAAGTGCTGACAGCTGTTTATAGCTCTGATAGCTACCATCAAGACAGCTTTGATGATAATATCGATTTTTATTTTTTCTGCATGTGCTGAAATATGTTTCGGTCGATATTTGGTGCAAACGGCCTGGTCAACGACTGGGTCAATACTTACCGCAATTAGAATGCATGTTGTGAACAGCGCATATTTCCAGGGCGTTATCGAAAATGACTTCTCCATGATGCTAACCAACAAGACGACTATAAGAACAACAGAAACTAGCACAGTTTTAGACACAACCGAATGTATTCACGTATGTTAAAAACTTACGAGCGATTTTTCACTAGCTGCAATTGAATAGAGGCCGTTTCCGCCTTTATGCGTCGTCTGTGACAATGACAGTGAACCCCGTGTCTATGCTGCGTTGGGGGGCAAGCATATTATTGACGCGCCGCCGATTGAGCCAAGTACGGACCCGGTTGCGTCATTTATGGCCCGAACGCTGGCAGTCGACTGACGGCTGACACGGTTTTAGCTTCAGTTTTAGTCGTCGCATTTGGCGCAGGCGCTTCGACTACTTATATACAGGGTGTCACATTGAAGGGTTTGTGCAAGAAATAAATATACTACAAAATATGTTATAATTGAACTTAGGCTATTTTGGTAATTCGCTTGTGTGTCATTTGGCCATTAAACAGTTGGCCAAAAGCAATCAAATGGACAAGTTGAGCATCGCATTCGTCTGGCCCATAACATTGTGTATATGCCTGATAAATATCGGCTATGCGCAGGCAAGTATTCAACGTGATTTATTTATACAGAACATATTTGTTATTTAGGCCACATTTAGGGCAGTTTTCTGAGATTCACGAACATTACGTGCGAGAGCAAGGATCTGAGCACAAGCTCGATAGAGTATTGCTATGTCGGGCATTTGGATCGTCTGAGAAACTATGTGAGTGTGCGCTATAAGCTGTTTCAGCCTTTACAAAAGGACTTTTTCGTAAGTATCTAACGGATAAGCCAAACTGAACTTGGTTTTAAACCATTCGTTTGCTGAAGTTCCGTTTCAGGTTGATGATCAGGAATCGCAACAGCTGGCAGCCGTTTCTATATGCCATCGATATAGACTTGTGTCGTTTCTTGAAATCACGCTATAATGCCATAGCCAAACTGTTATATGGCTTAATTGAGGGTCACACCAACCTGAACCACACCTGCCCCTATATGGTAAGACTCGAGTATCCTGTGACTTATATATTGCAACATACAAGTGCTGTCTTTCAGAAGGAAAAGTATGTGACTATAGACAGAGTGCTCAACACGGATATATCTAAGAAAATACGCGGCCTGCCGCTGGGCAAAGGACACTATGCGGTTTTTACCAGCTGGTCCTGGAAAAACACAACACGAGCCATGACAAATATTTACCTGGAGGTTTTGAATGATTAACCAGTTAAGTATATTGTTAGGCTTATTTTGATTGAACAATTAAAAAGAAATTATAATTGAAATCAAACAATTTTTTGCGCTAATTATACCCTGTAGTTAGTGCAAGTGGGCAATGATAAACTAGAGTGCGATATTCAATTCTGCAGCTCAAATCTAATTATGCGTTTGATTAGCAGCAAATCCTATCTATAGGAAAACGAAGCGATTTTTCTCTAAGTGTAGCTGTTTGATGCCAAATTTGACATACTGCCAATAATATTCGCTTATAATCTTAAATAGAAAGACAAAGCGGAAAATATTTTCAGTTTTTTTTTATGATTTTAAAATACAGGGCATCGGCTGGTCGTGCACATTCAGCCAGAACACAATAACATGTTAATGCTTATTTCTATGTGATCTTGCCAATCAAATTGTTTGCATAAACATTCGCCTATTAACAATCAAATGGACAAGTCGAGCATTAAATATTTATGGCTAATACCCTTGTGTATATGCCTGCTAAATGTCGGCCATGCAAATGTAAGTAACTCGAATATATATTGAACAAACAAGCTGCTTATAAACAAAATTAAGGCAATCTTTATTAAATTCACAAACATTACCTGCGAGAGCAAATATACAAATTTGGCCAGCGTGGAATACTGCTACATCGGGCATGTGGACCAACTGACAAACTATATGAGTCTGCGCTACAAGATCTTCGAGCCGATCAAAAAACAGCTTTTCGTAAGTATTTCAAAAAGAACAAATTCAAATTAAAGCAAATGTTAAGCTTCAAAAAAACAGTTCCATTTCAGGTTGATGGTCAGAAGGAATGGCTGGACGCCATATCTGTACGCATCGGACATAGATATGTGTCGTTTCTGGAAATCGCGCTATAATGCCCTGGCCAAGCTCCTGTTGGGATTTTTGGATGGACGCACAAACATGAATCACAGCTGCCCCTATGTGAGACTAGAGTGCATAGTTCGTTTACAAATAATTCACATCCACATTCAATACTTTGCAGAATGAGAACTACATCTATATTGATAAGGTCATGAATACGGATATATCGAAGAGGCTGCCGGCTCTGCCGCTGAGCAAAGGGCATTACGCGCTTTTCACCAGATGGTCATGGATGAATGTGACACGCACGTTGTCGAATATCTACATTGAGGTTACAAATGATTAGCCAATTGTTTATATGTATATACATATATAGTAAAATTTGTGGCTTTAATATTGAAACAATTAAATATTAGTGTAGTGTTTAATTAAAATAATACTTAAGGCTTAAGGTTAGACTTTGATTACATCCAGACAGCATTGTTGCGACGATCTTGGTTCTTTAGGCCTGTTAAGAGCAGCCAGCCCAAGGCGGCGCCAATTGCCTGAAAGAGTTCAAAGTTCAGCTAAATTCTGGAGCTCTCAATAATTAGTTAATTACCTCGCCCACGATTAGCAGCCAGCAGACGATCTTGAATATCAACAGCCTGTCATCCAGATATTCCACAAACTGTGCCTTGCAGCCCACTTTGTATACTTGGCTTGGATTCGTACACTTGAGCTCGGGACAACAGCTGCGGGGCACAGCATGATTTATGACCGCATAGTCCTCGGAGCCATTGACGCCGCAACAGTGCAGCCAGGACTCGTAGTAGGCCAAGGCGCCGGTCTCATTGCGTTCGGCATCCCACAGCTGCTCGAAGCCCTCGTTAATGCTGCCCGAGATGCCATCCTTGGTGCCATGCGAGACCATGCTCAGGAACAGCAGCTGTATGAGGATCAGCACCACAATCGAGATGACATACTGCACAATGAGGATTCAGATTTAGTTCAAGTATTTGAGGTTGGAGTCAGTGGCACCTACAAAGAGCAGACGCCTGGGCGACTCGTGTGCCGCCGCCAGGCAGCCAAAGACGGCAATGATGACTATGACGACGCCCAGGCCAATGATTAGGCCGCCAGCCACATTCTCGCCAATGCTCACCGAGGTTACGTATGCCCTAGAAAGACGCAAAAATAAGTAAGTTTCGATTATATATAAATAGTAGTGTAGGGGGAAAGCCTCGTGGAAAGCGCATGAGATTTTACCGAATTATGGGGTAGACAATTTCAAACCATGTCTATATCGGATATTTGAGGAAACTATTTTCACAAGAATTTGGACCAAAAATAATATTGTTATATTTGAAAATTGATCTAGAGGCCAAATCATGCACAAAAACCCAAACCTTATGAAAATCGGTTGAGTTTTGACCGAATTATGGAAGTTGGAAATGGCGACTTATATAGGATAATAACGGGTATACCCTGGCCTTGACTATGGCACTTGTAGAATAAATTCTCTCTTTGAAATGAGTTTTAAGCCGATCGGAGGGTAAACAAAAAACTTTCATGCAACTGTTTAGCACTGTTGCAGTTCTTCCAGCCATGCTGGAAAACCAACGTCTACTGTCGGAAAATGCACGGAAAACTGTGCAAAACCAATTTGTATTGCATTCAAACGACTTTCAACTCTAATTATTGCAAAATAGTTAAATACATGTTCTAGTAAAAAGAAATATATAAAATATAGGGAATACTGCGCTGCAATATAATGAATACTTGCCAGTTGTATATAAAATGACTTACAGAAAGAAAATGCCAAAACCAATCAGCAGCAAGCCGAGCACCTGCAAATAAATAGAAACAGGTGCGCAACAGCGATATATGTTGTTATTGTTACTGATTTTATTTTTTCTCAATGGCCAGTTTTACACACCGCATACACAAAGTTCAGCAGCAGCAGCAGATGCTTCACTGTAGTCTCCGACAGGCCCATCTTGCTGTTGTTGTTGTTGTTGTTGTTATTGTTGTTGTCACGTTGCAGCTAGCAAAGATGCTGACGAGACGTGCGACAGCTGTCGCCCTGGCTAACCGACTAAACGACTAACCGACTAACCGACTGGCTGACTAGTCAGACTGGACCTTGCGATTGTTGGCTATTTAAATCAGCGATACCTCGACGAATGCATTAGGTGAGTATTACGTATATGGCAGTAGCAAGTTTTTTTATTTTTTTTTTGGGATAGTACGTATAGTATGTGTATCCGTCGGATACAAAATCACAGAAATCTGTGCTGGCTGACCGCTGCCTTTCAGTGCCGTGAAACAACTGAAACTTGCTGTGTGTTTTTATTTTGGTTTTTTTATTTTGTTTGTTTCTGAAAATGCGAGTTCTATACAAATGTTTTCACTCAGCCATTGATCTAAGTATAAAAGCGAGAAAATCGAGAGACGTTCGAGACGCCCACATGGCTGCTCTTATTGGGAAAGGCGAAGGCGCTTCTCCGTGTGTGTGCGAGCGTATCTGTGTGTGCGAGCGTGTGTGTGTGTGTATCTGTGTTTTTCCATTTTATCTCTTGACATGCTCGTTGAGGCTTGTTATTATTGCTGTTTCCATCAAAGTTGAATCCTACTCATTTTCAGATTTATTTTTGCTGCGCTTATTTTATTTATCTGGCAGTCAACATGAAATTAGTCAATAGCAACAGGTTTTATTATGGGTTTTTTGTTGTTTTTGTATTATTTTATTCTTTTTTCTTCTGACGTGGGAGTTGGTTCACAATGCCGCAAACATTGTTTTTATTGATTCGATGCGCTGGCATTGATATTTTTATCAATGAATATAGTAAAATATGTTTTTTTGTTTTTTTTTTTTGCTGTACTAAATTACAAATCACAATGGCACAAAACTAACTAAGCATAATAATAATACAGTTACAGAGCGACAATAATCAACAATTAAAGCTTAATTATAGAAACGCACGCGATCGCGATGATTTCGTATGCTATCCACCAAATAGCAGGTGGCCACCGAGCCCATAAACTGCAGGTGAAAAAGATAATAAATGAAAAACAAAATAATTCATTTGCTGTTGGAGAAATAATTTTTCGTTTTGTATTGTGCAATTAAAGGTATTCAGTGCACAGTTAAGGATATATTTTATGAATCTAATAAGAATCAGACAAGTATCCAGTAGGACGAGTAACATATGCACAAGAGTATGAGTATTTTGAGTAGCATGTGTCTAACAGTTTAAGTATTATGAGTATCATGCTATTAACATTATGAGTATTTCGAATATTATAGAAACCGGCATGAGTAATATGAGTATGTCGAGTTAATTGTTATGAGTATTATGCGTAATACACACCTCAGTCAGTATTAAAAACCAGCTGATTGTATGAAAATTGGCTGTTTTCTTGCTGACATATTGTTTAAACTTGATCTCACAGCCTTCCATGAACAGATTCAAGGGATTCGTGCAGTCACGCTCAAAGCAGCAGCTGGCAGGCAGTTCCCGCTCCAGCAAAATGTAATCCTCGGCGCTGTTGCGACCACAGCAATGCAGCTATTAGTCAATAAAGAAACCAATTAGAACATGTCCTAGGTAAACCATTAACATATACTCACCCACTCCTCGTAGATGCTCAGTGTGTTATTGTGCCTGTGATACACATCCCATAGCTCGTCGAAGCCCTGTTTCAAGCTGTTTGGCAAGGCATCTCTGCTCGCCGCAAAGCTAATGCTAAACATGACAAACTGTATGACCAACAGCAGTATTAATAAGACTGCATACTGTTAAAATATAATATATATATATTTATTGAATGCTATTTCACATTTAAAAGCTTACGCACACTTATCAGCATCTTTTTGCACTCCTTGAACAGGGCCACAGTGCCGAATATGCTGGCCAGTATAACGACAATGCCCAACAGAATGCAGAGTATTGAAGCCAGTTTCTCGCCATGATCAACAGCATTTCGTTGCTCGGCAATGCTGTCCAGCAGCCAGGTGCCATACCAGATGAGCAGACAGCCATTAAGCTATTTAAGGGATGGGCATGTAGATTAACTTGGGAATACATTTGGTCAATGTCACAGCAAAATCAACAGATTGCAAAATGATACGATTTATTTTTGGGCGCTCAACACATTTCACTTTTCCATAAAACGCGAGATATTCCGAATATCGAATTTGAGAATTTGAGAATTCTCTAAAGTGTAGGCAAATATTAAGTTATTTTTTCATCACAATTCTCAAACGGCAAGCACTTTTTTAAGATATCTGCTCCGGGTTCTTTCATCTTCCACAAAAAAGACTGTGAACATCGTTTGCCAACACTGTAAATCATTTCGATCAGAATACGCCAACGCAAAAATATTGCTGAATGTTTTCTCAAGATGCTGCTCCGAGTTACGAAATCGTTATTCTGAATCGTCTACGAAATTGTTTACTATTTCATTTTACGCAATAATACATAGCTCAGTTTCAGGCCAAATCTTGATTTGGAGCACCGTTTGTCAACACTGTAAACCATTTCGATCAGAACTCACAGAAGCTTTAATATCGCTAATTAATTTTTTCCGAGTTACAAACTTGACTTAGACTAATGTCTACAAAATTGTCTACTCTTTTACTTTCGCAAAAAACAAAGTTTCAGGCAAATCTTGATTGTGAACACCGTTTGTCAACACTGTCAACCTATTGGAATTCCGCAAAACCCCAAATAAGTTTGCTATTAAGTCATTTTGTTTTGTAGCTTTGGCTTTTGGTAATTGGGAACAGGGCTGATTGTTTAACTTACAGCATAAATCACATTGATGACACACAGTATGTAACGCAGCAGGCGCGTGGTGCAGTACATTTTGAGTTTGGACGTGGCCACTAATAAAACATGACACACACGGCGAAACGCTCACTTATAATTAGCTGCGCTTAACGTTTCACGCGCTAAAATTTAACAAAATGAGAACTAGACAAAATATTGTTCGAAACACTTTGTTTTGTGCGGCACACCTTGAGCAGCGGCAATGGTCGCACGGCAAATACTCGTAGCCGACTCATAATCTGAATTTGTTTGGCCGCATCTGGCGATGTCGCTGGCAGTCGAACGATTAACCCACAGTTCTTGTCGCCAGTCGTCAGACGGCAATGCAATAGACAAAAAAAAAAAAAAAACCAAATATACAAAGACCCACAGAGAATTGTCGTCTATATCTATAAACATAAAGTCAATATCAAAAGAAAACTCAGCCAAACACATATGATGAAAATTAGCGTAAGGCGCCCACGCTCTAAAAGATGAATACACAGATACAGATACGGCTACAGCAATAGCTACAGATACAGATACATTTATAGATATGCATGCGGATGCCAGAAGACTGACTAACGGAAACTGCGGGCTGCCAGCACGGGGCCCAACTGTTTGGCCCAGAGACAATGATGTCAACAAACCAAATTTGAGCTAAGAACCAAATGCTTCGACTATTTTAGCATTGAAATTGCCCTTCAGTGCAGCGGGTGGTCAACAGGTTCTGGCACATAAATATTAAACCCAGCAGATCTCTCGATTCTATATACCCTATAGACGGGGAAAATGGGACTGTGGCAGGTAAACCACAGAAAACAAACTTGACTCTATTCGACGAAATGCAGCTCACAAATAGTTCGAACCAGCTCGTGGTTCAATTTCAATTTGAACACAATTTGAACCAGCTTTTGGCTCAACTCTTAAGTTCTAATTTGATTACATATTTAAATACTCTACAATTTTGTATTTACAATTGCCCGTTGTACCGAAAATATTGCATGCTCTACATATTTTCATATACAAAATGCGGGCTATATTTGATTTCCTCCCCAAATTGGCAGCTAATCCAAATATGGTTAGATAAATCCAATGGTTGGGACCCGAGACCAAAAACCTTTTTAGTTAAAAATAAAATAGGTTTTAGCAGTTCAGTTCAGCACTTATCATGGGCTTAAAGTGAAGTTCGTTTTAATTAATCTAAATCGCAATTCCGGGTTCAAATCGATTCGTTTAAAAATATTGTGAACTGCATTTTTAGGTATAAACCTTTGACTTGTAGTAAATATCATTTTAAGCATACAATCAAAAAAATTGCATTGTTTTATAAAGTGATTACAGGGTGTCTGCTAGTTGATTATACTCCTTACATTGTCTCTCGTTCTTGACAAACACTTTGTTCTTTTTGATTTAGTAGGTATTTATTGAAATTAATACAAAATCGACACATTCTATTTTATTGCTTGAAATGTTACAAATTACTTATCGTAGGCACTGTGTAGCGCTTTGAGTGAAAATCAAAGAGAATGAAACATTTGTGACAAACTTATACAAATAAAAACATGCATATAAATATTTTACGATATATATGTATATAAATATAGATATATATATATATATATAGACATCGAAATCGGCTTGAACACTGCTTTTGGCACCTGTTGTTGAGCTCTTGAAACGGAATCGTTTATTTTCTTCATTTATTTTTCTTGATTGGATGAACATGAGGTAGACTAGCAAACGCCGCAATATTTAGACTGGAAATTCGATTGCTTAGTGTAGTGTGGTTTAGTGCTGTGTAGTACAGTGTAAGTATTTGCACAGTATTGAGAATTCTTTGGCCTTGAGTATGCGCATTATGATGTGTGCTGAATACATGTTCAATTATTTTGGAAAATATTTGGAGCGTCTCCAACGATTCACAATGCTGTGGGCCAGCACATAGGCGAGCAGTGCGCAAATGATCTGAAACAGAAACGAGTGCAACAAATTCAATTCAAATTGAGCTAAGCAACAGATTTATGATTTCCACACACACACACCTCGACGCCAACCAGAACCAGCGCAAATATATTGAATGCTGTCCAGCGTTCGGCAATGTAGTCCAAAAACTTCTGACGACAGCCCTCCATGTTTAGTTTGTTCGTATTGCTATTGTAGCAGCTATTCGGGGGCAGCAAATAGTCCTTATAACTGACATTGCCGCAACAGTCGAGCTGTCAAAAGAGACATTAGTTGAAGCCTTCAGTTTGGTTATGTAGTACTCACCCAACGTTCAATGCTCGCGATTTGGCTGACATTGCCGGGCTTGACAGGCACCGGCTGATCGTGCCACAGCTGATCGAAGGTCTTGTCCACATTGATGAGCAGCGATGTTTGGAACAGCCAAAAGAAGCCCACTGTCAGCACTTGCAGAATGATGAGCACAACCACAATGGCCACAAACTAAAAGTGCAGCAATAATAGATTTCAATATGCTCTCAGTTAAATGACAAACCGACTTACCGACTTGGACATGCGACTGCTTTCACGTACAGCGCCCAGGGTGCCAAAGAGGGAGGCCAGCACTATGATGATGCCAGAGACGAAGATGACGAAAGCGGCTGTATCGAAATGCTCGAATTTGAAGAATATATGCACGCCCAGGCCAATGACAATCAGACCAAAGAGCTGCAAGACGCAAATATTTAAAAAAAAAACTAGTTTAGATAAAGCTTACAGTCAAAGTACGATCAATTTTATAGACTACAGCATGTGTCTAGCATTTAATGAGTCGCTTTTATTGAGCTATGCTGGCCACTTAATAATATTAAGGCTTTAACTAATGAAAATTTGTCAGACGCGGCGTATACTTAATATGCAAATGCATCAGCTAAGCGGCATATTACTCATACGCAGCGTATTCAGCCACATGAAAACACACTTTGTAGCTGCTCTGTTTTGAGCACATGCAACCAGTTAACCTTTATATATACAGTAAATATAGCATTAGCAGATTTTAAGAATTTTTTGCTTGCATCACGCATACGCAACGTATTCGCGCGCGCATTGCATTTAGCTTTAGCCTTTCACTAATTTTTTTGTTGACTTTCGCCTGCACAATTTGCTCAAATTTGCTGCAATTGCATTTTGAATTTTCAACAATGATTCACGCTTTCGAGAACATTTCACACTAGTCCGCGAATGTAAACAGTTTTCGCATTTGGCACTTGGCACACTTGGCAAACGTTGTGTTTTGTTAGTATTGTAGTATTTGCACTATCGGCAATCGGCACATACACTCAAAATACTTTAATAAATGCGCAATAATTATTTATACATTGTTTTTCCTGCATTCATGGTTTGTTCGATGTTTACAAACGACAATCTGTTGGCAACACAATTGCGAATAATAATTACAATTGTAAGAAACCAGTTAAAAATCCAAACAAATATCGCTGTTGACACCTGGCAATAGAGATGGACGCGTGACACGAACACGAGTCGATGGGCGGCATAATTCGTGTGTGTAAGTGTAAGGAAGGCGCCTTTCTGTGCACTTCTCATGAATTCAAGTAATGTTTACTAACTTAAATATTTTTAGTAAATTGGTGACTAAATAAGAGTAAGAGAAGAAATGTGAAAGCGAGTAACACAGAGACAGAGAGAGAGAGAGAGGGGGACAGAGATGTATAGAGAGAAGGAGAGAGTGAGAGATAAAAGTGGGCAACAGTGAGAGCAAGAGGCAATAAAGGATAAAGGATAGAGAGAGACATATATAGAAAGAGACAGAGAAAGAGAGAGAGAGAGAGAAAAATAGCAAGAACGACTCTCACACTCTCTCACTTCCATTCATCCGTATCCTAGCCCTTCTTAAATATCGCTCTTCTATGCGATTCTCAAGAACTTCACTAATGCTAACTGCGTTTAACATTCGATTGTTTAAGTCTAAGTCTTTTAGCCTCTGTTGAAGTGCACGTGCTTCTTCTGTCACGACACGAGCCCAACTCTACATGGCGCAGTGCCAAACTTCCGCTAAATGTTTGACTTGACATCTGGTTTGGATGTCACGTTAAATAGCCCCCAATGGCTTTCAGATTTTCTAAAGCCTTAGCCCACAATTGGTGAGCGCAACGCGGTAATTATGACTGATTTGTGCGATTTATCATGTTGACTTAATGTTTGTATATTTTTTTTGTTTTTATTATTTTGTTTATTTTTTTTTTTTTTTTTGGGTTTGTCTAGCGCAAACACATTTGGCATTTGCTGTAATTTGTAGCCATAACTGGTTGCGATGTCTTCATAAATTCAAAGTTTATCTGCGCACAGCTGCGCCTTTTAAGGCTGCATAGTGTAATTGAATAAAGGTCGATGATTAATAAATAGCTCGACAATATTAGCTGCCCGCCGTGCCCTCACCGATGAATAACAATTATGCAAATTGACAAATGGCTTAGTACCAGACAATTTGAACTGCCGTCGCTTAACAAAACGCATGTAAATGAAAACCGCAACTAAATATGGCCAAGAAAATGTTATAGCCACATAATATTAATAGACTGGTAAAAGCAATTTGTATGCCACAAGTCTACTCGTTTTTTCTCCCTCTCCCTCTCTAATGATAAAGTCATAAATTAAAGTCTGATAAAGTGTTTACATCACGCCGTAGATAACAACTCAACAGAAAGAACATCATTTAATTTTAAGCCTTTTTTGGGGCATCTGGCATTATGTCTAGATACAACGCCATTTAATTGTTATTTATTACGCTTGGCACCCAATTTTTTGTTAAGGGCCGGCGCTGACATAACACTCGAGTCTCTGGTATGGGCGTCAAGTCGAGCACAGCCCATAGAATCAAAGTGGCAATGGCAATGAATCCATGAGCACGTCATGCCTGCCACATGAAGCAGACCCAATCTTTGGCATGCCTCAACTCAATTGTGCTTTGCCAGCTCTTAACTTACTTAAGTACTCTCACATTTAAGGCATAAACTACAGACTAAAATGTCACATGTGTTATCTCCCCTAATTAGCACTGATAACAGGCAAAAGTCTTGCACAGCAACAGCAAATACAAATACAAAAAATAACAATTCGAATTAACATGGTACTATTATTAGAAAAGCTAGATAAGTGAAGATATCAAATATATGATGTACGTGCTCAAAATATTATTTTTTTTAGATAAGCAAGGTTGATAACATTATGTTTTGGATATGCAAATAATATGTACTTAAAATATTATTTTTATCAGATAAAGCTTGACAAAGCCATATTTTTGGCAAAGTGAGATTGTTGTTATTAGATAAGCTTTATAGACTGACAAAAGTTTATTTATGATGCCGATATGCTTACTGCATACATTTGTATAGATTCTTAGATAAACTATACAAGTATACATTTATATTAAAGATATTGACTGTCATTTATTTATTCATGATATTATTTCAATTAGATAAGTTAGACGTTAGATAGGCTAACAATACTACCTTTATAGTAAAAGTTAGTTTCAAAGATTGACATAACTATAATTAGAAACCAGATATATATGTGTAGGCTGGCGGAATTTACAATTCTACCTACTCCTACATATATATATATATATATATTCATTTTTAAAGCATTTTGGATAAGCTAGAAAACCCATTTTCATCATAAAGCTAAAGGCAGTTTTCTTAGATAAGCTACGAGAGGCAAAACTGGGCTTAGTCTAAAAAGTAGGTCTAATTAATAAACTGTTGCTTTAACAGGTGTTTTTCATGCGCTTTCCCACAGTCACAGCACATGAAAAACAACTGCTCAGAGCAGCAATAATTTCATGACCTGCTGATGCTTTGCCTTACAAACAAGTGAAAAGGGAACGTGTTTACACACTGTTTGTTTGTGTAGCGAGTACAAAAGCATTAAAAGTGAATTAAATATTGCTAATAAAGTCAATTTATATGCTTTAGCTGTTGCTTAATAATAGCTGTTACCTGATAAACTAATAACTAAAATAATAATAATTCAAAGTAAGCAATTTGCACTACCAAAAGTTACCTTTAATCAGGTCTATCTTTCTTTCCTTCATATTTGCTGTGCCAAAGTCAATTAGTTCGACATTTGATCGTAATTTGCATTAATAAACTTACATAACTTGTTCTAATTTGTCCAGCAGACAAACAATTAAATGCAATTATCATATACATATAGACAGACAAGTGTGTAAGCAAGGCCAGGCCGGTGGCAAATGTATATTTGCATAGAGCTGATAAGACATAGAGCTGATTAGACTTTGGCTCAGCTGGGCCCACACAAAACAAGCTCTCACAACAAATGCCCTCCTACTAGCAAATAGTTGCGAATGCGAACAGCATGTGGTCTATGGAAAATGCCAAAAAAAAGGCAACATTTAACTAGAATAACTAGACAAATGTCATTGAGCGAAGAGCATTGCTGAGATTTATGTGGGTTCAACAAAAAAACAAAACAAAACGCCAGACTTGACAACAGAAATGCGCATGGAAAAAAAAACAACAACATAAAAAGGTTCTGCCCTACCTCAAATGCAGGGCGGGCGTATAGGCACAGCTGGCATTTAATTAAAAACACGCGGCCGCACCGAATGAAGTAATTTTTGAAACCAAAAACAAAAAAAAACGAAAAACAACAACAGCAATAAAAGAAGAAGAGCTGCTCGTCAGTAAATCAAAGTTTATTCGCTTGGAACCAATGCGGCAAATGTTGCGCATACGCCGCGTTGTGCGTTGGTTTTTGGCATTTCCTTTGCTTGGCACATTTGTTGGGCTTATTTTGAATATTTTCCTTAAGGTTATTGCCGAAAAATATTTTGAATTTTCGAATTTTGCAACGCCAGCGCGTCTGAAAATGACATCAACAAAAATTTCAGTTGCCGAAACACACAGCCAAAAGACAAATAAACTACAAAATTCTATATGGCTAGGAGCAATGACGCGATGATATACACACACACACACACACACACACACACACACACAGAGAGGCACACACACATAGACATATTTTGACCGCCTTTTGCTCAGGGCCAAGTTTCGGCGTGGGTGACCAAGTTTTTATATATCAATAATTTTTTCAAATTTTATTTTTGCCGCTGAGCGCATAAGCTAAAATCTCGTTGTATATTCTTTGTGTTTTAAAACAAACATAGTTGCTAAAGAAATAAATAACAATAAATTAAGTGAGTTCGGCATGCAGCAATTTTGACATGTGGCTCAATATTTAGGCATTCGGACCAAAACACAATTAAGGCAAAGATCGTAAAACAAATAAATATTCACTTTGCAATATTACTTAAAAAAGCTTGGACAAGTATTTTTATATTTGGCGAAAACTGCGGCCAGATCAGACTGAATCATAAGCTAAAATATTTGGAGATGTACGAAGTTTCATTAATACAAAACGAACACGAACACGAGCCGCAATCGAGCACGACTTTTCACGCACGAGCATCTTTTGTTGTACGGGGAACTGCGCTCTATCACTTAACTAGACAATCTAGACTATATTTTTGTTAATATTTATTATTTATTATATATTATTTATATAATTCTATATATTTTTTTGAACTCGTGTCACGACACGCTGCACGCTCAGCTCTATTTAAAAACCCACAACTTGTCCGTGGCATGCACATAAAAATTAACTTAAACATTTGTTGCTAAATTTTATGCCTGAAATTCGATGAGCTGCGCCCAGTCTAGGCAAATTAACATAAGAACAAAACGTAGCATATTATTAATTTAATAGTAAACAAAAAAACAAAAACCAGGAAACCTTCAAATGTAATTGAAATGCTAGCAAATACAAACATTGAGCTATTCAATCAAACTGTAATGCCAGCTGTTGAAATGTTTAAATTAATCGGTATCAAGTATATATATATGTATACCGTTATCAGGCGCATTAATTACACAACACTAAATACTCATGTGCTGAAGTCAAGGCTCATATGTTACGTACTTTCCAACTAGATAAACAATTGCCAATGTTTTCGATACAAATATATTTGATAAACATCATCAAAGCGGGGAATGTGTGTGTGTGTGTGTGTGTGTGTGTGTGTGTGGAATTGTATAATTAAAAAAGCATATAAATTATATAGCACCGATTCTAGCCGTCGGCTGTAATTAAGAAAGAGTACAAACTTTATGTCAAACACAAGACCTTCAACTAGTTAGTCGCAGACACTTTCAAGTATTCGGGGGATTAGTCAACTCGGCGAGTTAATGAAACCTGACTACTTCATGTAATTACAGCTCTTTAATGCTATTATAATTACAATGCTCTAAAGTTCATAAGCCGACATTTCCATACGAAACTTTAGGCCTAATGTCTCGGCTGTCCATGCCAACTTACCACATAGATTATATCCCAGAACAGTGCGAATAACTTGAGTAGCTTTGTGGAGCAGGCCATTTTGTTGTGTTTTTTTTTTTTTTGTTTTCTAATCTTTTTTAGAATTTGCCAAAATGCACTCTCTGTGTACTATTTTTGGGTGTGTTTGCCACACGAGATACGCGTTGTATTTGATGTTCACTTGGCTTGGGGCACCAAAGCACTTGGCACTTGGCACTTGGCAACACTTGTTAGAAATTTGAAATATTTATTTCAACTTTTAACGGTCGCTCTGGAAACCAAACCCGTCATGTTCGCGCACGAATCTTAACTGATTTGTTGATAGCGCAAAACATTTTAGCGAAAAGCAAAAACAACTTTTCGAAAATGAAACGAAACGCCGGAACGCGGCTGAACCGAAACAGAAAGCACGCGCGCGTCAGGCATGGGCATCGCAAAGAGGGGCTCGCTGTTCCATTGCCAGCGTTCCTCGGCGGTCATGTGTGTGTGTTGGTAAACGTTCTGTGTAGTACGTGTAGAAATAGATTTGAATTAAAAAACAGCAAAAGCGACTACTTTTGCGCTAAGCTATTTTTATAATAGTTGATTTACATACTTTTCAGCGTTTAGTGAAATGCTTGAAGTGGGAAGGGGAAGGCGGGCTAGTTTATACCTATATATATATGTACATACATAATATATATGCAAATGTTGTAAGCTTTGCACAAGATGATTCATAGGTTTTGCATTAGATCAGCATGTTTGCAGTTAATACTGAAACTCTTAAAATAAGTCTAGCAAAAAGTTGTAAGAAAAGTCAGACAAAGCTGTACGCCTTCAAGAGTTCACGAATTAAAGTTCAACCACACGTTATTTGGGTATTTAATTTTATTGTTTATTACAAATTAATATTGAAATAAATTAATTCACATTCTTATATATATGTTCATACAAAATCGTTTTCGGTTTCTGTGCTATTAAACACCATTAAAAGCATAATAGGCCATTCATTTGGTTACAATATCGAGTATGTTTGTGTGTATGTACATCAAAAGCAATATCTACTGTAGCATTTTCTTAGAAAATTCGCAAGTGTAAATGCTTCAGAAGTTAATAACAATTTGTTGTAAAAAGTTTTGTGTTTAAAGCATTCATTTGTGAGGTACATAAAGAAGACCACAAGCTCTTCAGCTTTACATAATAGTATAATAATTTAAACGCCATATAATAATATTATTTGAAGCCATTCAATTTCAACAAATGCAAGTTCCATCAGCGGACAACACCTTTCAGTAGAATGAGCGACGATGATCGTTGCGAATACTGTTGCACAGGCCGCAGGACACAATGCTAAGGATCAGCTGCAGAGGGCGAGAAAATACATATTATACAATTAGCTTGTATTTACATAGATTATTTATGGGGAACAACTCACCTCAACGGCGACCAGCACCCAGCCGATAATATTGAATATACTCAACAGGTGTTGCCAATAGTTTTCAAACTCCACACGGCAGCCCGTGTGTATCAAATTGTCGGCCTTGCTTCTGTCGTGATCCCGGAAACAGGTAGCCGGCGGCAGGCGTTCATTCACAATGTAATCCTGAGGACTACCGCGACCGCAACAATGGAACTGTAAAACGAAAACAAATTCGTAATGTTGGTAAAGTTCAAGCCAATTCTTTTCATATATATGTATATATGTGTGTATATATGTGTGTGTGTGTGTGTGTGTGTGTGTGTGTGTGTGTGTGTGTGTGTGTGTGTGTGTGTGTGTGTGTGTGTGTGTGTGTGTGTGTGTGTGTGTGTGTGTGTGTGTGTGTGTGTATGTGTATGTACGTATGTATTTATGGATGTATGTATGTATGTATGTATGCATGTGTGTGTATGTGTGTGTGTATGTATGTGTGTATGTATGAGTGCATGTATGTATGTATGTATGTATGTATGTATGTATGTATGTAAGTATGTATGTATGTATGTATGTATGTATGTATGTATTTATGTATGTATATATGTATGTATGTATGTATGCATGTATGTATGTATGTATGTATGTATGTATGTATGTATGTTTCTATGTGTGTATGTGTGTATGTATGTATATATGTATGTATGTATGTATGTATGTATGTATGTATGTATGTATGTATGTATGTATGTATGCATGTATGTATGTATGTATGTATGTATGTATGTGTCTATATGTGTCTATGTATGTTTGGGTATAAATATGAGTGTACAAACATATAAGGTATATAAATATATATATATATATGAGTGTACGTACACATGTAAGTATGTATATATGTTTCTATGTATTAATATATGTGTATATGCATGAACACATATGCATGCTAGTGTGTTTGTATGTTTTCATTACGTATGAATGTTTATATTTATTAATGTAAGTTTGTATAAATGTATGTATGAATTTATGTATGTATGCATGTGTGTGCATGTATATATGTATATATTATGTATGCACTTATATGTGTAAATAAATGTACGCATACATTAACTATAGCTGCGCTGCAAGTTAAAAAAAAAAACGTATTCCTCACTGATGCCCTGCTCCTCGATTCTCATAAATTCAAGTAAGTCGCATAGAATTCACTTCACCTTAACAGGAGGAGGCGGCAGCTTCAACGTTGAAGGAGGCGGCTTCAACTATGGAGGAGACGGCGGCTAGTGCACGGCAGGAGGCGGCTTCAACGTAGGAGGCTTCAGCAACAGAGGAAGCGCCTTCAACTAAGGAGGATGCGGCGGCCCTCCTCCTCGATTCTCATAAATTCAAGTAAGTCGCATAGAATTCACTTCACCTTAACAGGAGGAGGCGGCAGCTTCAACTTTGAAGGAGGCGGCTTCTAGTGCACAGCAGGAGGCGGCTTCAACGTAGGAGGCTTCAGCAACAGAGGAAGCGCCTGCAACTAAGGAGGATGCGGCAGCTTGACCAAAGGAGGGTGCGGCGGCTTCAATAGTTATACGCATACAATAACTATACACTGATGCCCTCCTCCTCGATTCTCATAAATTCAAGTAAGTCGCATAGAATTCACTTCACTTTAAGAGGAGGAGGCGGCAGCTTCAACGTTGAAGGAGGCGGCTTCAACTATGGAGGAGACGGCGGCTAGTGCACAGGAGGAGGCGGCTTCAGCAACAGAGGAAGCGCCTGCAACTAAGGAGGATGCGGCAGCTTGACCAAAGGAGGGTGCGGCGGCTTCAATAGTTATACGCATACAATAACTATACACTGATGCCCTCCTCCTCGATTCTCATAAATTCAAGTAAGTCGCATAGAATTCACTTCACCTTAACAGGATGAGGCGGCAGCTTCAACGTTGAAGGAGGCGGCTTCAACTATGGAGGAGACGGCGGCTAGTGCACAGGAGGAGGCGGCTTCAGCAACAGAGGAAGCGCCTGCAACTAAGGAGGATGCGGCAGCTTGACCAAAGGAGGGTGCGGCGGCTTCAATAGTTATACGCATACAATAACTATACACTGATGCCCTCCTCCTCGATTCTCATAAATTCAAGTAAGTCGCATAGAATTCACTTCACTTTAAGAGGAGGAGGCGGCAGCTTCAACGTTGAAGGAGGCGGCTTCAACTAGGAGGAAGCGGCAGCTTGACCAAAGGAGGGTGCGGCGGCCTCAACCATGAACGAGGCGAATGTTTTAAAATTAGAGGAGGCGGCGATTGCGACTAAGGAGGAAGCGGCGGCCTCAACTTTGAGGCAGGCTTTAATATAAGAGGAGGCTGCGGCATTAACAGTGAAGGCGGCGGCGGTTTACATATTGGAGGAGACTACGGCAAATGCTTAGGCGGAGGAGACGCCATCAAGTTTAAATGTGGCCATTGAAAAAACATGTAAGTATTATAAACAAAACTTTATCTTTTAGATGTCACAACTATTACAATCGTATGCAAGTTTGTTGCTATGCATGTTTTTAAATGTGTGTGTATTGCTCTTCTACGCGATTCTCATTAATTCTTCCTTTTTCTCTTCTTTCAGATGTGTTGTTGATTATTGATTTGTATCCCGCCGACCAATAGATGACGAAAAAATAATCATGCCTGGGAATTTACAGGTAAGTACCCAATTACAAATTTATATTAATATATATTTATACGGCTTATAAAGAGCGAGAACCTTGACCTATGTCTATAAGGAACATTTAAAGATATCGTTTTAACTTTAATTTAGATGTATATTGTTGCCAGGTTAAGATCTAGAGGTCAAACCATGCACAAAAACCTAAACCTTATGAAAATCGGTTGAGTTTTGATCGAGTTATAGGGTTGGGAAATTTCGACCTATGTCCTTCAGTCAGTCAGAACAAACAGTTTAATATGTATGTACAGATGAGCAGTGTTGGTAAGCCCCTGCTGTATACTCACCCAGTTCTCGTACAAGGACATGGCACCAGGACTGTTGAGCTCCTCCTCCCAGGTCGTTTCCAATGAGTTGGCCAAATTGGATGCCGCTGTGCTTTCACTTCTCGTAAGCAAAAAGAGTAGGGCCAATTGTATAATTATGATAACGTACAAAATCGTGATAAACTATGAAACAGAAAGGTTGATTCATCAATTAATTGCCTATGGGTGTTGATGTCATGCCCATAGAATTAACAACTTACGGTCACAGTGCAGCAAACATTCTCCCGCCAAGCGGCCAGATAGCCCCACAGGAAGATGATAATGGCCGCAACGCCAATGCCAATGTACGAATAGGCTGCCAGGGAGCCAATCTGATTGGTATCGTAGGACACCAGTATGTAGATGCCAAAGGATATTAGCACCAGAGCCAGCAGCTGTATGCACCAAAATAAATAAATAAAACACATAAACTATAACTCAAGCGTAATAAATTTGAAAATATATAATCAACATGGAAAAAGAGGCAACTCCAAAACGTTGTGCCACTTTTATGTTTTTGACCTTAGCCAAGCGCAAATGTCGTTCGACACTCAAAGGACTCTGTGTGTGTGTGTGTGTGTGTGTGTGTGTGTGTGTGTGCGTGTTATCATATTAATGGAGGCTCCAGCTACTGGCTACATAGGCGTCCGCCAGACTAGTCTGGCTGGCGTCAGGAAATACGACAGCAGCAGGAGCAAAGCATAAACAGCAGGCGGGTGTGCGCGACTAGGAAATACCCTGTAAGCACACAAAAAGCACATGGCCACAAAACTGTGATGCTATGTGAAGAAAGCCTGGAATATACATATATATATATTTGTAATGCTACTAAGCCAAACAGACAGACAGAATGTGATACAGCCCGTCGCGCGCTTTAGCTACATGGTATCTTAGCTTGCAAATGTGCGGCAATGGCGTGTTGGCTTTGTTAGTTGTTTGTATTTTGTCAGATTTGTTGTCATATAAGCAATAAATTCCGACAGGAATAAGCATATTGACAAGGTCCTTTAATTAATACAGCCACAAGGCTGAGTAAATATTGATGCAAAGGGCGAAGAGTTAGAAATTCCTTTTTTGTTTAACAAAAACAAAAACAACTTGGGGAATTCTTGTTGTTAAATATGACAGCGAATCATATTTATCTATGTTTCAATATTATTATCTTAGATTAATATGAACAGCCGGCATTTGTTCTAGGTACATGTGAGCATTTTGTGCACTCAGATAAGCCCACTTTGAAGAACTTATAAGTTTTTAACAATAACAAATCAAATGGGAGCGCTGAAAGACTCGCAGCCGATGTAAACCATATTTCATATATGTATATATATATATATACATGGATCTATATATTGTCTATAGCATGTGTTTGTTCTCGGCATTAGCCTGTTATTAGATATGTAAAAAGAACACAAACGAACGAAAAACATGTGCTCTTAATAATTTAATAGTATTAATATTGATTCAATGACAAACTTAAAGGCGAACCTATTTAAAATTTTTTAAGAACCTATTCGAGCGGGCTTCCCTGGTTCTATTTGTTAATCAAATGCTCTCTGTTTCCTAAAAGCTGGCAAGCCCTATGCCTAGCCGAAAATAGTGATAATCTTTATATATGTGCTATTATTTTATCAAACGCTGATGATTGCGTGTTTTCTAAGCTGCCAGGCAAAGTCTTTGGCGATAATACCTTCGCACTGCGATAATGTGTGCGTCATATTTGACTTGGATACAATGATGCTATATGAGTGTATATGTAAGTGCGGTATATATATATATATATATACATATGTATCACACGCATATATATATATATATATATATATATATACATATGTATCACACGCATATATATATATATATATACATATGTATCACACGCAAAACAAATACCGCACTTCCATATACACTCATATAGCATCTGTCCACAACTCTTATATCCAATCCCTTATACATTAGCCCTAGCAGCTAGGCCCACCACTTCAATATTCTAATACGATATATTCCAATTGGATTGAATTATACATTTTTGGTGACAATTACACTCTCTGCCGTGGGGCCGATCATAACCGTAATACGCGCCAAATTTCCAACTCAGCTCCAATTCAGGCTCTTAGAATATTCCAGGAAACTCATAAAGAGAACACATAATGAGAGCATTGCCAAACGAGAGAGAGAGAGAGAGCTCATGATGTTGAGAGTCCTCAGCCGAAATTTGCTAAGCTTTAAGTTTGAGTCTATGCGACGCATCCAAAACCGTTAAGTTGAATATGCTATTCATGTAAATTCCGTTAAGCCGCGCATTGCTTAATATGGACTTATATACATACATATGTATAGACATGTGTCGTAGTAGAAGAAAATTGCCTCAAGTGGCCAGTTTATAGTTTCGTTTACGGCAAGTCAGACACAAAACGCGCCAATTGCCAGAATCAACAAACAAACAAATGCGACAATTGATGCCAATTACATATTTAACTTACCGTACAAAGTATGTGCAGGGCATAGGCAAACACCTTATAACCCGATGTCGAGGCCATTCTGTATCTGTATCTGTATCTGTACAAATTTGGAATTTCAGCTATACCCTATCCGGCGAAAATACTTCAAATTCCTATTGAGCCACTTGCGCAGTGCAACCCCAAAAAAAAAAAGAAAAGAAAAACTTGTTTTCTTATTTTTATTTGCCCCTTCTCCCGTTTTCGAGTCGCTCTGTTTCTCTTAGCGGGGCTCTCTTGAGACGTGCTCAGCGCTTGTGTTGATGATGCGTTTGTTTTTTTATGAGATCATGAAACGGAGTCTGATCTTCAAGATGATTTATCGAACTTTTGCACAAATCAATGGGACATGAGGTCGTCACTATTTTTATGACAATCACAAACTCGAACTGGCTACCACACTAAACGCTTTGCATATGGCTATAAGCATGTTGCATAGGTGCGTCTATATACTGAATAGATATTATGTATATATATATATATAAACAGATCTATCGAGAACTTGACGCGACGTTGTTTTACTGAGACTGTCTGGCACAATTTCGGTTCGCGTGCGTCGAATAACTGAGCGTGCGAGACTTTCTGTTTGGTCGCGTTCCCAGCCGGTTGGTGAGCTTCGCTGAGCTTTTTACTGCTAGCACATGATGGCCAGATAACGCTCATCGGCATGACGTCACAAATGTACCCCAGCCAGAGAGGGAGAGCGCTAGAGCTGGCCATGGCACTCACACACAGTTGCTCGGTAAGTTAACCTTACATTTGTATGCTCAACAAAGCTTTCATTCAATGCAATTCAAAAAATAAGCTTTGCGCCGTTAGCTACACAACTGCGCATAAATATAAGAACACTTTTGTTTATAATTTAAACAACTGCATTTTTATTTGAAATAACAACAAATTCACGAATGTAGTTGTACACGACAAACAGGCAGCCAAAACCGACAGCTATTTTGAAATAAAGCTAAGTAAAATAAGTTTAAGCAAATTTGAAAAAAAACGCATCTTACCTTTGATAAAAACACAGGTGTTGAACGTATATGCATCAAATTTGTAGTTCTCGCGCGACACAAACCAGATTTCCCAGCTAAAGGAAATGCACATCATGAATACAGTTATCGAAAACCATGCAAATAGCACACTTTTCATCTAAACACAAGAAATTCATTTGAGATAAATGCAAATGCACGTTTTTATACAATTTGTTCAACCTGAACTTTAAAGCAGACGAATATCAGGCCGCAAAGGGCATTCAGAAATTCGGTTATGGCCTGTATTACGAACATGGAAGCCGCAGAATCTGTTAAGATAAATGTAGGTGATAAGTTGTAAATGGAAAGTACAAATTGTTCTACCTGGATCCTCTTCGAAAATATTGTCATTTATAGACACAAGTTCCTTTATGCATATATAGGCAAGATATATGTTATACGATATGAAGCCCATAAACAGCACTATCATAAAATCGCGACACATGCTGAGCTGAGTCCAGCCAACTTTCAAATGTTCCAATATCTGCCACTGCAGGAAACTATATATATATATATATATATGGGAAGTTTGAAGGGAGGGATTATGAGCATAATTATTAATATGGTCAATAATTATGGAGAATGTCTTAACAATTTGACCAAAATTTTTATTCATTGAGCAAATTACTAAAGATATTACAAAATTCTCCAATAAAGTATAATATGGAATAATATATAATAATAAGCTCAATTTGCATTAGCCTCGCCATCCAGGGAGACAGAATCCCGATAGACGGCCAGGGAGATGAAAAACAGCATAACTATAAAGATATATATATGCAAGAAAGAAATGATTAATTAATAATAATATTGATAATAATTAGAGGAATACCCATTTCGAAAACTGTGATCACGGCGGAGACCAAGTAAATGAACGACCAGAATAAGAAAAGTACTTGTACAAAGCACAAAATCAATAATATCGAAGAGCCCAGAAAGAAATGTCTCATAAATTTGCTCTGTAAAATATATATTATTATATAAGTAAATATATAAATGCAAAAGTAATGAAAGAAAAAAGAACCTACCTTTAGATGGAAATGGCCAAAGGTCAAGCCAATCAGACAATGCATGAGCGATGCGACCTGAATAAAGGCCAATAAACCGTTAACAGTTGTCTTACTATCGGATGCTGCACAAGGGGAATATGGAATTTTAAATTATATATACTTGACACATATATACTTAGTATATCTCTTCGCAATTACCAATTGATGCTGGCCTGTAATAAATTGGCAGAACGCAGGCGAACGTGAACACATAAATAATTGCATATGACGACATGATGACAAAAGCAAAACATGTTAATATAAAACGCATTTGATGCATAATTCCGTACAGGATGCACGAGGAGTACGGCCAACTTTGAGGAAAGCACGCGACACTTTGGCCAAAAACGAAAGGAAATCCAGGTATCTACTTATATATTAAAGGTAGTTAGTCGACTGAAAACCTTTCACACCTAATACATTAGCTATAATTGTTGTTATTACGGTAATGATAATGATGATTTGAAGGTGGCAACATTAGGCAATTGATTCCGCCGGGCATTGGGAATTGGCATCGGCTGCCGGAGCGCGTAATCTACGAAAAAGATGATATGCAACAAATCCCAACATAAAGGCCAGCGAAGCTGCAATAAAATATAGCATATTAACATTTTACGTAATTTAACACATATCAAGGCTGCAAGCCGTAACGAGATTCGAACCAGCGCCCCGCCTGGAGATGCAATTCATGGTCAGAAAATTCGAATAAGCTCAGACTCTTTGTTTCGCCTTTGTTTTTTGGGTAACTCGATTGGTTAAGGGTTCGATTCAAGGCGAGCAACAAATGCCAAGGCTGCAAGCCTTAACGAGATTCGAACCAGCGCCCCGCCTGGCGATGCGATTCATGGATCTGTTACATACTTTTTGGCAGACTCTTTGTTTCGGTTAGTTTTTTGGGTAACTCGATTGGTTAAGGGTTCGATTCAAGGCGTGCAACCAAATGCGGATTCGAACCGGCTTGCAGTCTTGACAAAAGAAAAGCATACCAATGCCCGCAATATTCATATCGCTATCGGCAGCTGAATAGAATGGACTGTAGCATATGTAGATAAAGTAGCTGCAACAGGTGAGAGCCGCGTGCAGTAGAAGCCACCATTGCAAGTAGTACATGCTCTAAATGGGAAAGTTACAAAAACTCTATCTAGATATAATATAGAATATATATGCGCCACGACTTACGCTGCGATCGGTGAGTACAATAAACGGTGCAGCAAACACCGTCGGCAGGTACAGGGTATATATGGCAAAGGTGCTGTAGCAGTCCTCGGGATATGCGCCTTAAACGTCGGCCATTATTATTAAAAGCCAATTTATCTAGTTCTTATTTACCTGTCGGACGGTCATTGCAGTCGTCGTAGCAGCGCAGCACGAATGTGACAGCTATAAAAAGTACTATAAAATTATAGAATATGGAAAATGTAAGCGCTGCCACGCCCACAAATTTCCAACCCGTGCACATATTTGGCGTACTTTGCGTCAAAAACGCGAATGCCGAAAAAACAAAGCTAGCTGAAAAAGACAGCTGCTAGACATATATTAATAACTGAACATTAAGTTGACAAATGATATCATCATCAATTTGATATAACTCCAACTACGGACTCGTTCAATTTGTTGCATTCATTGCCATTGAGAAACTCTTTCTCGTAGTCATAAACTGTTTTGAAGGCGCGCAGAAATATAACTAAAGATTAATTAGTAAATTAATGAACAGCTTAATTAATTAATTAACATACTCAATATCAAGATTGTGAGCGCCTTCGTACCGTCGCCAGATATAAGCAAAATATATAGAAAGCCGTATATGAAGCACATGGAAAATACCAGCCATATGCTGATTACACACTGAACCTGCAACCAAATTGATATTTAAATTATAGAGTATACAATTCACATTTCAAATGGGAACCTGGCATTTTTTGCCGGCCAAGAGCTGTCCAGCCCAGCCGTGCACTAGCAGTATGCAATTGATGACCATAATAAGTATTATCAACATCTTTTCATCTGGCAAACAGCAGAAGTTGAGCTTATTTTCTATAATTTTATATTTAATATATATACACACCTCTGAGTCCAAGCAGACAATCTACTGTTGAAAACATAAAGAAGCTCTGCAAAAAACTTGTGCCCGCAGCCACAAACAGAGCCGTGAATAGAATACAAACCCGTGCTGCACCCATTGTATGCTTAGCACTAATCAAATAATACTCAAGAAGAGCAAATGCTCCGAGATATAATATATACCTTGCCCACTTGATGGATTAAAGGCATTATAGTAATTGTTAGAGATCAAAGTGTGGCGTCAGAAAATTAGAACATTTCGATAACAGATACGCTTTATAAAATACCCTATCTTAATTTAATTTATGCATATCTATGTCTCCCGAGTTCTAGGAACTTGGATCCCTAATCTTTGTAGATCAAATCATGCCCAATATCGAACAGTTCGTTTAAAGATATTCTAGTGAAAATAAAAATTAATTATCTTAATTTAATTAATGTCTCCCGATTTCACGGGGGAGATCAAAATGTGCCGTTAACAGAAACCATCCAAGTTTATTATATATTAATATCTTCCGACTTAACGGAAGTTCGATCCCTAATCATTGGCGATTTAAGTGTGTCAATAACATTATATAATCGCACAATTTGACAAAAATAAACCTTCTACATATCTTACAATTATTTCGTCTGCCAACTTTCCGGGGATTCGATGCCCAAGCTTCGTGATCTGTGAGCCAAGCCCATTGACTCAACCCACAGATATTTTAATCCAAAATTAAGATAGCGCTCAAACCTTACGTACAGCATAGTGTTCCTCTTATAGAAATCGTTTCAGTTTTGACCAAGTAATTGCGAGCGGAAAAAGCCCAGAAATATGTATGTGCACATATGTGCACGACCCCCGAAGGCTGCCACCCGAAATGAATACACAATAAACTTATCGCAAAGCTAGATATATATGTCAATTGCTTGGTAAACACAATGTTTAAGCAACGGAAGGTCAAAACTGTTGCTGCCATGTCAACGGCTGGGGGCACAACAAAAGCTGCCGCTGCACTTCGAGAACAATTTGCATGGCAATTGGGTACAGTGCGTGTCATGGGTAAGGGTATCCACAAGGCTTCCATATAATTAAAAATACAAACACGGATAATATGTGTTTCGGTTTTTTATTTCTTTTTTTTTTTTGGTTTATTATTTTTGTATATTTATGTATATAAATACGTTTTAAATGCTTTAATTCATTCACGTTGTTTGCAATTCGAGTTGTTGTTTTTTTTTTGTGGTTTAGCGCATTTAATTCAAATGTTATTAAAACTTCAAGAGATTCAAATGTACATGTAATATGATGAACAGCTTTTAATGTATACATATATTTATATTTATATATATATATACATATATATATATTCATTTGGACACTTGTTTTAGCCAACTGGTACAAGTATAGCATAAGGCTTTAACACTACATAGTATATATGTACGTATAAATTTATAAAAATGAAAACAATAATTTGTAATTGTAACATTGAGATTTGCTCTTCGTTGTATTTGTGTCAATTTGCTGTTTAGCAGTGTTTTGTTTATTATTTGTACAACGACTTTGGATTCGTTTGTTTTTGTTTTTTCTTGTTTTTTTTTTTTTTTTTAAAGAGCAATTAAATACGAAAGCGATGATTAAACAACATTTAAGCGTCTTACACTAGGTATACATATTTATTCGCTTTCTTCGTTTTTGAAAAGTATTTCCTTCTGTTCCGTATTTTAAACAAATAACTTAAATATTTTTGCAACCAAATGGTTTACTTCAAATATATACCGAACATTTTCCAAATTTGTTTTAGTTCGTGTGCGTTCTACGACAATACATATTAAAGAGTTAATGCGAATGTGTGTGTGTGTGTGTGTTGTTGTTGTTGTTGGTATGTATGGTGTGCGTGTGTGTATTTATGTGGTGTGCTGCTGTTCGATTTAGTAGCCATTGCGGCGCTTGTAGTTGCGCACATTATTGGCCAGGCAGCAGGCGAAGATGAAGCCAACCAGCTGCAATAAAAATGTACGTATTTATATACAAAATTTCACAGATATTAAGAAGAGACAAGAACTCACCTCGACCACAATCAGACCGATGCCAACATACTTGGCCTTCTCGGAGCTGCCAGACATCAAATCAACGAACTTCTCGCGGCAACCGCCATAAATGTTCAATGGGTTAACGCAGCTGCCGTCACAGCAGCTGGACGGCAAGCCCGAGGTTAGCACGCTTCCTACATAGTCCTGGGGGCCCATGCGACCGCAGCAGTGCAGCTGAAAAGGAACAAATGTTAAAACAGTTGACACGAGTGGACTTTGCAAGTAATTGGTACATACCGATTTCTGTATGGCATCGAAGACACCACCTTCGCGTGTCTCGCGGTTATCCCAGACCTTGTCGATCACCTCACCCATGGCATTATCGAGCTTATCCTTGTTGGTAAACAGGAGCACAACGACTGTCAACTGGAGTATGAGCAGAACCAGCAGGCAAACGGCATAGCTCATGGTCATGCACACAGATTCGCGTATGGCGCCGCAACAGCCCAGGAACGAGATGAACACCACAATCGAGCCGAGGGTGATCATGATGATCGGCAGTGCTGCCTGCGGCGGGAAGCCGACCTGGCCATTGACCTCGATGGTGCCAATGCTCTGCAGTATGAGCACGCCATAGACAATGCCCAAAATGCCAATAATCTGGAATGGAACAAGAGCAGCAAATCAACAAGTATTCAACAATGGTTATGGAGGGGGTTTAATACGTGTGCCAAGGTATAGAAACTTCGTCATGGTTAGGGCTTAATCATTCCATAGATTTAATAAGTACACTAAAACAAAGCCAGGGTTTATTTGGTGCATTTTTCAAGTTTGCCTGCAGTCTAATCTGTCATATATTTATATATGCCACATTTCTTGCTGTTGATAACAAATTTGCGGGTTTGCTTCCGGTGCTAAACATCCGGTTGCACACAAAAAAGTCGCGAGTGAATCACTTCAACGAGCTATAAAAGATATCGTAAGTAAAGTTGGTTCAACTTTATATGGTAGATGCCATAAGTGGAACAGTCGGCCGCAGGCCATTACGTAAGTCAAAAGCTGCAATAAAATTCAACACTCGACACTCGACAGTCGACAGTCGACGGTTGCAATTGCAGTTGCAGTTGATAGTTGAAAATAACATAGCGCTAATTATGCTTAATTGAAGGAGAGCGAATGTGAGTGTGGAGCGGCGGGCGACATTTGGCATGCCAAAGATAAATTATACAAATTCTTAATTACAACTGCGGTTGCCCCAAAGCAGCGCTGACCTTAGGGATAGGGCCAAAGTACGTGGCTAATGGCTATTAAAATTAACAGGCGCAACGCCGCTTACGTAATGCAAGCCAGCTAACTAGCGGAATTAAAACAGATCTAATTAAATAGTACACACACATATATATATATATATATATATATACTTTGCTATCTGCAAATATTTGGGCAGGCGGCGTCTCGTAAGCTAGCCCAGTTTTGTTTGGCTAAGCAAATCGCATCAAGCATACGCACCGTGCCACAAGGCTAAGCCCCGCTGATTAGATAAGCCTCATCTTATGTATACACATAATATGTATGTACAGCTGGAAAACACGCCCTAAAGTTCAAGGTGCAAAACAATTTACGTCAAGTTTATGCAAATTGTGAAACTTCCCCGCAGAAAATGCTTTTTGCTCAGCAATTTTTCTATACGTACGGGCATCGCATCAAGTGCAAGCCGCAACAATTGTTCGCCAATTAATTGAATTTACTTGATTTCATTATGCACACGTTTGGCATGTTTATTTATGTATATTTAGCTCTCTGTCTCTCTCGTATACCCTGTACCTCAAAGAACAAGCATAGCTGAATGAGCGTATGCAAATGCAAGCTAAAGCAAGCGCCACAAATATCGACTCACAATTTTTGCTAATGCACTTAAATGCCGGATTTGTTGGCCTCACAATGCTTAAACAATAAAAAGTTATTTCGACATGAATTTTTCATGGCCTGTGACTAATTGCGTCTGGAGCACTTTCGCTGGGAGCTGTCTCCGTGTGGGCTGCTTCATTTGGCACTTTGTGGGGGCGTCTCTCGTTGAACTTAATCCAATTTCTGAATGGATCTGAAGCATTGTCATAAGCTAAGAACGTGTGTCCAAATTGACCCAAATAGTCGGTACAAAAACAGCATTCGGCTATTCAAGACGTTTATTGTTCCACTTTTACAGAAAACAAAAGCGTTGCTCCTAATGTAAACATCACGTGCAAATAGCTCAGCCAGATGACGAATACCTCGAATGCACAGATATAGCATAATATATATATATATATATTATCTGTGTGTATATTATGAATCTCTGCTCGTGAAGAGTTTTCTCAATTGAAAGTTGAATTTTTTTTGTGGCCTCATGACGTCATGAGTCTCCCAAATATTACTCAAATGCAAATATGTTGAAGCACCAGAGACAAGGGTCATAAGCTGTTTATTGTCAACCCCGGGGCAAACAACAGGAATTGTATCCGACTGGGGGATACTCTAACTATAAGACTGTTATGGAGTTTAACTCTTACCAATACAAATAGTTTGTGTTATCATTTTGGACCTGTTTATTGTCAACCCTCGGCAAACAACAAGAATTGTATCCGACTGAGAGATACTCTAACTATACGACTTTCATAGAGTTTAACTCTCACCAACTTTCGTAATCATTTTAGCCCTCTTCTGCTCAGTACACAGCTTCATTATAGCCCCCTTCTGCTCATATGCCTGACTACAGGGTATACATGAATGAACTGAAACTCTGAGCTCATTTTATTAATATCGGTGGCAGTTCGTGCAACAACCCTCGAAGCATATATTTAAAGTTATTTGGCTGCCCATCAATTGCAATAAATAAATACGCACGCCGAGAGAGAATAGAATTTCTCTGCTCTCTCTATGTGTGAGGAACCACACCCAAAATTGCGGCCCGACCATGCGGCGCCGTATTTGTAGTCAGTCTGTCTGTCTGTTTGTCTGTCTATCGCTTGTAACTGGCAGTTATCACAGTCGAACAACAAGTGAGCAGCGAGATAGAGTCGTAGACAAGTAGAAGCTGCTGTCAGCGCTTGTGCAACAGGACGTATGCGTGATGTGGCTTGCCCCCCCTCAAATAGAACAAAAAAGAACATGCGACATTTTGATTGAAAGCGTATCTCAATTTTGAAAAAAATAATTACACCCAACACGTATTTATAGCTCAAAAACACGACACGACACAGAACAACAACAACAACAAGAAAAACTTCTAAAATGGCAAACGTAGCAATAAAATATAAAAGCTGCAAAAGTAAATTACACAGCAAATTTTGGTTCAAGTTGTTTTTTTTTTTTTGCCAAGGCATTCCGAGTTGCCAAGTCGGATTGTTTGTGCAAAAAGCTGAGATTCAGGAATGCAGAATGTTTGTTTGTCTTTTTTTTTCAGGAAAAATATGAAATGTAAACAGAATATTCTTGGCAGCTGCTTTTGGTCAAAGCTTAATTTACAACTCCAGTAATATATGTTTGGTTAAGGAAGGAAGGAAACTGCATTCGGAAAATAGTTAATTATACATTAATTAACTCAATGTTTAAACTATTTCGAGCTGCATTACTTTTGCATTTGTTATAGATAACATTAACATTGACATTCACTTGTTCTGATCAGATTTGTCAGGCAGTCTATATAATTATTTGTTGCATTCGATTAACGAAGCAATTTTAAAGCCCGCTTTTGCCCTGTTATTAACTAAATTATTTGAAATTAATCTTAAATTATTAAAGGTTAAAAAATACTCTATGATTTGTATCTATACATATTACTTCTATCAATGTATATATATGTATATCTTTCTATATATCTATCTATCTATCCATCATATTTCTATCTATATATATATATATATCTATCTATCTTTATATGAAATCATCTCTCTATCTGTCTATCTACCTATCCATCATATATCTATCTATATATCTTTCTATTTATCATATATCTATCTTTCTATCTAAATATCTATCTATTCATCATATATTTATCTATCTATCTATATATCTATCTATTTCTCTATATATCCGATCTATCTTTAGCGTCATCTATCGATCTATATATCTATCTTTGTATCTATACATCTCTATACAAAGCATAGAACAAGTTTTATTTACTTTAATAAGCTTCAATTATGTTGCTTTAAGATTTCAAGATTTTTAGCTGCTTGAAGATAACACATTATTCTTGTCAAGGCACACAAATCAACATCACATATCCGACATATATGTCTATATAGAACATCTAAAACCATTTGACATATATGTCTATATAGAACATCTAAAACCAAGACGAGTTTGTCATTAGCTGGCTGCAGCCAACATTCTAACTCGCATTTGATTCTCAAAAGTCAGACGTGTCGAGAATACAAAAAAAATATATAAAAACTCCCAATGATTGCATGAATCGGGGTAAAATACACGCCAACATATACACATTGACTGTGCGTGTGTGTGTGTGTGTGTGTGTGTGTACCAATACATGCACATGTATCTATACATGAACACGTACCTGTAGCTGTATCTGTATCTGTTGTTTCCCTTTTGTATTTAACCAAGCGAATTGCACAATGTTTTGTTGCTTTCTCGAGCGTTGCGTTGTTTTTTGTCGTTCATACACTAACAAAGGGTATTGTCACTTTGCCAGGAAGTGTGAAGCGCATCAATTGAGGTCAAAAATGTCAGAAATGCCATTAGCTACAATGTTATTGATGAACGTATCTAAAACTATTTGAACTTAGTTCTCAACGCATTTGCAGCCTGATGCATTTTTAGAACTAAGCGAATTTTTCTCTATAACATTTAACAGATATATTGGGGAAAAAATTATATTATTTCCAAGGTGTCGGCAAAATATATGGCCAGTTTATTTGGATATATAATAATTATAGCTTTAATAGTTATATTAAAAATATATTTGATTTTTATTTAATTTTTTCGATTGAATTTTTTAAATTTTTGGCAGACAAGTGTATTAAAATTTCGGCTTAAACAAATGATTTTATTTTTTATTTTTTTTTGTTGGCTTTTTTTCTTTGTCTGGCCGAGCGACGCTCAAAGGCGGCTTTTTGCTGTGGCCTGTTAATTTGCTTGCCTTAACTGTCAAGTGTGTTATGTACACACACACACACACACACACACACCCAAACGCACACACAGATGTACACACACACACACACACCCCCAAACGCACACAGACTCACTTGCGCACAAACACGACGTCTGATTCAGATGTGTATCTGTGTGTATATACACATTTATGTGTGTGTGCATGTGTGTGTGTGTGTGTATACCTGAGCCGCTGTGCTGCACGTGTAAATGTGAACTATGTAAATAACGTGTGCTTGCTCTTTCCACCAGTTGCTGGGCAATGCAACAAGTTTTTATTTTTTTCTGTTTTTTTTTTTTTTGCAGACTTATTTATTTATTAACTTGTTGAGATTGTCGACGTATTCATGTTTCTTTTTTTCTGTTTTTTTTCTTCTGATTCACAGGGGCGTCAATTTAGCGAGCTTTCAAAATTGCTAACAGAAATATACGTGCGAATATCCACATATATTTGCTGTGATTGAATGACTGACGGACTGACTTACTGACTGACGGACTGACTGATTGATGATCAACGCACTGACCAAGCCGTGAGGGCTGGCAAGCCGGGCTTTTCACAGTAATTATCTATTGTGATGCAATCTTTCGGAATCGTTTGTTGTTTTGCATTCTATCAAATTGATATTGTTAGAAAGCGCATCGGAAAGGTGTTTCACACTTTTCAGAAAATGCATTCGCCTTACAGACATCTGCTTCCTGTCGCCACCCCCTTTCGGAACATGATCAACACGTTCGAAGATCTGGGCAACGATGGTTAATACTTGAAGTAAATATATATATTTACATAATGCATAACTATATTTGAGTTGAGCGATTATTTGGTTTTAGGGTGTGTTTTTATTGCCATTTGTATGCGCACAAATATTTGCCATACTTATTTATATTTCAAATGCGTAGCTAGATACTTTTGTATAAGGTCTCTGGTGTAGTTGACTCATGCATCTGCTGATCGAAGAAGCACGTCGGTTGCCCTGTTATTGCTGTCAATTATTGAACTTGTGTGTGTGTAGTTCATCTTATCACAAAGCTGATGAGACACGAGTTGCATTGCCTGGAAACTGATTCATTTGAGAATAAACATATGACATCATGCGCCGTCGAATTCTGGGCAAATTAAATTAAACGCTGGATTTTAAATAAATATACAAGCTCAGATCTAAACAAATCTGCGGCTCTGCTGTATATAGTAGCTTATGAAAATAAGCAAACAAAGCAAAAGCCAAGAAATTCTCATAAAAACTGAAATTGATTAAGCTATGCCTACATCTCAGAGCAGCAGCAGCAGCAGCTCGACTCGCCACATTCAGATACGGCTACAGATACAGATTCAGATACAAATGTGCGCGTATGCTTGTGCGTGTGCGCCTCTGCTGGGAAGCTGAATACACACACATAATTGCGTATATATTATATAAAAACGATGATGTCATAGCCACAAAACAAGCCATGCCAAGAACGAGGCTGACATAAAGCGAACTAGAAAACAAGAGTGCTTCCAACAAAAAGTGGCCGAATAGAAGATACGCTGTATCTGCGATCCTTTTGCCTTTCTACAAACGAGCATAGAGATAGGGTCGCATATCCTTAACTTTGTCGAGGTTTACTTAAGCTGTTAACATCTCCATAAATCCATTTAACTCTGTCCTAATCAATTTCCAGGGTATACAGACTAGTTAGCTTCGCGAGCTTGCAACTGCCATCCGCATGGAATTCACAGTTCAAAACACTTGCGATTCTACGAATAGAGTAATTGGCAATTGACAAGTACTCTTATGAAATCTATATTTCCATTGAACTAAGCTTAACAAGGGGAATTTCGATATCGTCTCTCTATCATTTATATCATTTACTTACCGACACAATGGTATTGAATACGAAGAGTATATATTTAACCATAGACGTTCCACAATCCATTTTATTGTAGTTATTGCTTCCTGAAATGCATGAAAGGAAAGTCATTTAGTAGTAGTTATTTATTTAAACATTAAAACAAACAAGTTCGAATTATGCAAATGCATATCGAAAATGGATGCCATTACGCAATATGAATACGATTTAAATGATTTGTATTTGTATGCGATACAGTTAATTAATTTTATGCAGCCGAGTGTTCATTTAGTGGAAATTTGAGCTACAAATATAAACTTGTTTTGTATTTATTTATTGCTTTTCTTTCATGGCACAAATTTATTTGATTTGTTTTGCTTTTGAGTTGCAAAAAACGATATCTAGATATCGTATTATGTGTGCTTTCCCACTTTTTGTGTGCCCCTCAGCTATTTTGTTTTATATATCTGCCCATTTACGAAATACCAAATATAATTAATTCCAAGCTAATATACAGCTGAATTCAATGTTGAAAATAGCTAAAAATAGCTAAATTGAAGCCAATGCCTATTTAGCCAAAATTGCAGACGCCTGCCAATTTCAACGGTTTCTGGCAGACTACCTCTGAAAATAGCCAAATCTAGCTACAAAACTGCTGAGTTGGCCACACTGATTATACGATAGCAATTGCGATATTTGTTACAGGCGTTCTTCTACTTAACTTTATTTTTCCTTACTGGTCACACATTTAATGTTCATACTTAACCCCTAAAACCGGTTCGGCTATCGTAAAAAAAAAAACAAATTTTTATGAACAATAAAGGCAAACGTGTTAGCAAGCCGATTCAATTTTTTTTTAAATCGGACATTTGAACTCATGTTTCGGTGCTTTATTCTTTTAATTATTTATAAATGCGTCATGGTTAGCAGCAATTAAAAAGAATGCTTGCTAATTAAACATTGAAGTTCAACTTTTGCGCCTTGAGACGTGTTTACGCCGTAATTTCCATTCTTCGTCATTCTTATGGGTTGTCTTAGCAACCACAACAACAACAACAACAACAGTTTCAATAGTGGAAAACCTCTCAAGAACATATATTGACAGGAAAACCCAAAATGAAAAGTTCACTGCACTCGCATTGCCATACACTATCATTTAATTTGCATCTTTCATATATTTATCTTCACTGAGTAGCTGAGTTTGTAAGTGCGTCGTCTTTATTTTGAATGTGCTTTCGCACTTTCCGTTTTCCACCACTTTCACATGCATCTTCTTTCGAGCAGCTGCCGCTGCAGCATCTCAGGCAAATGAAGCAGAAGCAAATCAGCAAATACATATGTATGTGTGTATATGTACACAGCGCATTCACTTATTCGCTTAAGTGCACATTGGCCTTTAATACTTATTAAACATTACCTTTTCTGATTTTTTACTTTATATTATATTTTTATTCAAGTAACACGCTCACGGCACGTCCGACTCGGCGAAAAACTGTTTTTGATTTGACTCGACTAACACAAAAGCAACGACGCAAAACTGGTTTACAGTGTGACCAAACTGTGGTAACTATTAAAATCTGCTGTAGATATTTTAATTCTGGTTTAGGGAAATGCAAAAAAAATACTGCTTTACTATAAAAATAATATATCATAATTAATCGTATACATTCATTTTCAAAATAAATGCCTAGTAAAAATAATAATAATTCACACCCCTAAATACCAAAAAATATTATTATTTGGCATATCTGTGAATGACGGATGTGGTCCCATTCGATCGTGGCGTCCTGTCTTATTTGCGATAAGATTGATTGGGAAACCCCAATCAAAAGTCGTGCAGTGAAAAATTAGTTTTTATAACCTGAACCCATTAAATTATTATTTGTGCGAAATCCAAATGTATGTAACAGGCAGAAGGAAGTATCTCCGACCCCATAAAGTATATATATTCTTGATCAGCAGCAATAGCCGAGTCGATCTAGCCATGTCCGTCTGTCTGTCCGTCCGTCCGTCCGTATGTATGAACGCAAGGATCTCAGAACCTATAAGAGCTAGAGACTTGATGTAGGTGCTCCTAGTTCCCGCGCAGATCGAGTTTGTTTCCGATAATCGATAACTTACTCCGTTTCCAAGCAATCGATCAAAATCGATATCGATATCCTGTTTTTTGGGCAGTTTTGGTAAATAATAAGAGCTAGAGTCACCAAACTTGACATATAGCTTCTAAAATAGAACAAATATATGATATAGGATTTTTCTTCATGGTTTTCCTTCTAGATTAATCTGGCATTCAAATCTGAACACCGATTATTTAGTCGAAATGCATGTCCAAATCTTACCCCAAGATTCGTTTATAGACATGGGTCAAAAATGACCACCCCCATATCTCGGCCAAATCTCATCCGATTTTCACGAAGTTTGGCTTTTTCTTCATGGTTTTCCTTCTAGATTAATCTGGCATTCAAATCTGAACACCGATTTTTTAGTCAAAATTCATGTCCAAATCTTACCCCAAGATTCGTATATAGACATGGGTCAAAAATGACCACCCCCATTTTTCGGCCAAATCTCATCCGATTTTCACGAAGTTTGGCTTTTTCTTCATGGTTTTCCCTATAGATTAATCTGACATTCAAATCTGAACACCGATTTTTTAGTCAAAATTCATGTCCAAATCTTACCCCAAGATTCGTATATAGACATGGGTCAAAAATTTACCACCCCCGTATCTCGGCCAAATCTCATCCGATTTTCACGAAGTTTGGCCTTTTCTTCATGGTTTTCCCTATAGATTAATCTGACATTCAAATCTCGACACCGATTATTTGGTCGAAATTCAAGTCCAAATCTTACCCCAAGATTCGTTTATAGACATGGGTCAAAAATTTACCACCCCCATATCTCGGCCAAATCTCATCCGATTTTCACGAAGTTTGGCTTTTTCGTCATGATTTTCCCTATAGATTAATCTGACATTCAAATCTGAACACCGATTTTTTAGTCGAAATTCAAGTCCAAATCTTACCCCAAGATTCGCATGTAGACATGGGTAAAAATGACCACCCCCATATCTCGGCCAAATCTCATCCGATTTTCACGAAGTTTGGCTTTTTCTTCATGGTTTTCCCTATAGATTAATCTGACATTCAAATCTGAACACCGATTTTTTAGTCGAAATTCAAGTCCAAATCTTACCCCAAGATTCGTATATAGACATGGGTCAAAAATTTACCACCCCCATATCGCGGCCAAATCTCATCCGATTCTCACGAGGTTTGGCTTTTTCTTCATGGTTTTCCCTATAGATTAATCTGACATTCAAATCTGAACACCGATTTTTTAGTCGAAATTCAAGTCCAAATCTTACCCCAAGATTCGTATATAGACATGGGTCAAAAATTACCACCCCCATATCGCGGCCAAATTTCATCCGATTTTCACGAAGTTTGGCTTTTTCTTCATGGTTTTCCCTCTAGATTAATCTGGCATTCAAATCTCGACACCGATTTTTTAGTCGAAATTCATGTCCAAATCTTACCCCAAGATTCGTATATAGACATGGGTCAAAAATTACCACTCCCATTTCTCGGCCAAATCTCATCCGATTTTCACGAAGTTTGGCGTTTTCTTCATGGTTTTCCCTCTAGATTAATCTGGCATTCAAATCTCGACACCGATTTTTTTGTCGAAATTCAAGTCCAAATCTTACCCCAAGATTCGTTTATAGACATGGGTCAAAAATGACCACCCCCATATCTCGGCCAAATCTCATCCGATTTTCACGAAGTTTGGCTTTTTCTTCATGGTTTTCCCTCTAGATTAATCTGGCATTCAAATCTGAACACCGATTTTTTAGTCGAAATTCATGTCCAAATCTTACCGTAATCTTATTCGTATGTAGACATGGGTCAAAAATGACCACCCCCATATCTCGGCCAAATCTCATCCGATTTTCACGAAGTTTGGCTTTTTCTTCATGGGTTTCCCTATAGATTAATCTGACATTCAAATCTGAACACCGATTTTTTAGTCGAAATTCAAGTCCAAATCTTACCCCAAGATTCGTATATAGACATGGGTCAAAAATTACCACCCACATATCGCGGCCAAATCTCATCCGATTTTCACGAAGTTTGGCTTTTTCTTCATGGGTTTCCCTATAGATTAATCTGACATTCAAATCTGAACACCGATTTTTTAGTCGAAATTCAAGTCCAAATCTTACCCCAAGATTCGTTTATAGACATGGGTCAAAAATGACCACCCCCATATCTCGGCCAAATCTCATCCGATTTTCACGAAGTTTGGCTTTTTCTTCATGGGTTTCCCTATAGATTAATCTGACATTCAAATCTGAACACCGATTTTTTAGTCGAAATTCAAGTCCAAATCTTACCCCAAGATTCGTTTATAGACATGGGTCAAAAATGACCACCCCCATATCTCGGCCAAATCTCATCCGATTTTCACGAAGTTTGGCTTTTTCTTCATGGTTTTCCCTCTAGATTAATCTGGCATTCAAATCTGAACACCGATTTTTTAGTCGAAATTCATGTCCAAATCTTACCGTAATCTTATTCGTATGTAGACATGGGTCAAAAATGACCACCCCCATATCTCGGCCAAATCTCATCCGATTTTCACGAAGTTTGGCTTTTTCTTCATGGGTTTCCCTATAGATTAATCTGACATTCAAATCTGAACACCGATTTTTTAGTCGAAATTCAAGTCCAAATCTTACCCCAAGATTCGTATATAGACATGGGTCAAAAATTACCACCCACATATCGCGGCCAAATCTCATCCGATTTTCACGAAGTTTGGCTTTTTCTTCATGGGTTTCCCTATAGATTAATCTGACATTCAAATCTGAACACCGATTTTTTAGTCGAAATTCAAGTCCAAATCTTACCCCAAGATTCGTTTATAGACATGGGTCAAAAATGACCACCCCCATATCTCGGCCAAATCTCATCCGATTTTCACGAAGTTTGGCTTTTTCTTCATGGTTTTCCCTCTAGATTAATCTGGCATTCAAATCTCGACACCGATTTTTTTGTCGAAATTCAAGTCCAAATCTTACCCCAAGATTCGTTTATAGACATGGGTCAAAAATGACCACCCCATATCTCGGCCAAATCTCATCCGATTTTCACGAAGTTTGGCTTTTTCTTCATGGTTTTCCCTCTAGATTAATCTGGCATTCAAATCTGAACACCGATTTTTTAGTCGAAATTCATGTCCAAATCTTACCGTAATCTTATTCGTATGTAGACATGGGTCAAAAATGACCACCCCCATATCTCGGCCAAATCTCATCCGATTTTCACGAAGTTTGGATTTTTCTTCATGGGTTTCCCTATAGATTAATCGGACATTCAAATCTGAACACCGATTTTTTAGTCGAAATTCAAGTCCAAATCTTACCCCAAGATTCGTTTATAGACATGGGTCAAAAATGACCACCCCCATATCTCGGCCAAATCTCATCCGATTTTCACGAAGTTTGGCTTTTTCTTCATGGTTTTCCCTCTAGATTAATCTGGCATTCAAATCTCGACACCGATTTTTTTGTCGAAATTCAAGTCCAAATCTTACCCCAAGATTCGTTTATAAACATGGGTCAAAAATGACCACCCCCATATCTCGGCCAAATCTCATCCGATTTTCACGAAGTTTGGCTTTTTCTTCATGGGTTTCCCTATATATTAATCTGACATTCAAATCTGAACACCGATTTTTTAGTCGAAATTCAAGTCCAAATCTTACTCCAAGATTCGTATATAGACATGGGTCAAAAATGACCACCCCCATATCTCGGCCAAATCTCATCCGATTTTCACGAAGTTTGGCTTTTTCTTCATGGTTTTCCCTATAGATTAATCTGACATTCAAATCTGAACACCGATTTTTTAGTCGAAATTCAAGTCCAAATCTTACCCCAAGATTCGTATATAGACATGGGTCAAAAATTTACCACCCCCATATCTCGGCCAAATCTCATCCGATTTTCACGAAGTTTGGCTTTTTCTTCATGGTTTTCCCTCTAGATTATTCTGGCATTCAAATCTGAACACCGATTTTTTAGTCAAAATTCATGTCCAAATCTTACCCCAAGATTCGTATATAGACATGGGTCAAAAATTACCACTCCCATTTCTCGGCCAAATCTCATCCGATTTTCACGAAGTTTGGCTTTTTCTTCATGGTTTTCCCTCTAGATTAATCTGGCATTCAAATCTGAACACCGATTTTTTAGTCAAAATTCATGTCCAAATCTTACCCCAAGATTCGTATATAGACATGGGTCAAAAATTTACCACCCCCATATCTCGGCCAAATCTCATCCGATTTTCACGAAGTTTGGCGTTTTCTTCATGGTTTTCCCTATAGATTAATCTGACATTCAAATCTGAACACCGATTTTTTAGTCGAAATTCAAGTCCAAATCTTACCCCAAGATTCGTTTATAGACATGGGTCAAAAATGACCACCCCCATATCTCGGC